AGCAGAAACACGGCTTCTAGGGGGGAGGAGACTTCAGGGCAGGTTTTTGGAAGGGGAATGTTATCTAAATTTAAAGATATAGATTTTGGAAAGAAAGATTCTCCCACTTTGAATTCAGCGCCGTATTTTCAGAGGTCCTGATCGAATCACGTTTTTCTGACCTTTGCTCTGGTTTCCACAGAGCCAGAGAGGCGCTGCGTCAGTGTCTCCCCGACCAGCTCAAGGACAGCACCTTTGCTCAGGTCCTGAAGGACGACACCACCACCAAGCGCTGGCTCGCTCAGCTGGTGAAGAACCTGCAGGAAGGCCAGGTGACGGACGCCCGGGGCATCCCGCTCGCCCCGCAGTGACGTGGAGACGTCAGCCATCCGGTGCTGAGACTGCCTACACTGGACAGGAGAGGACGGAGGAAGATTTTTCTTTTCATGTTTATTTTTTTGTTACGAACTCTTAAATTTAAAAAAAACTGTAGATTTTCAAACCTGGTTGTGATATAAAAAAACAAAAAAAAGAATAAATCTTTTACGGAGACAAAAATCATTTCTTCCGAACTGTTTGACATTGATGTTACAGTGAGATGTTTTACAGATAAAATGTTTCACTGAACTAATAGCAGCTTTACAATAAAAAGAAGCAATGGAATAAAGATGCAGTTTTTTAAAATATGCAACAGAAACGATAAGCAGAAGTAAACGATTCCTTTATTTCTACCAGCTGCTGATGTTCCAGTTCTGCGCTGAAACATCCAATGACCCCGACAGTCCACCTTCACACTCCTCTCATAACTTTAAAAAAAGTCAAACTCTTCTGTTCCCTCCTCTGCGGTTTTTACCATGCAGTGTGTTCCTCTGCACAGTATTTTTATTTTTTTTGTTGTCTTTGACTCATTTGTACAGGAATGATTGCCGTTCCAGGCCTTGGCCTCAGTGTGTTTCTAAATAAACCGTTTTTCACCATATTCAGGATACGATTGGTGGCTTTTAACATGTTAGGTAGTATGGGTTGTGTTCAGCGGGAAGATGGCTATCAGCCGTACAGGATGGGAGAGTTTGGCTGCTCCTCTAAATTAGCTGAGGTCATTGAAGGATCTTATCTGGATCATCTCCCGCTGGATGTTTGTGCCACAGACCCCACTGGGAGGAAACTCAGAATCTGCCAGCAGCTGGTTCTGGGAGTGCCTTGGTCAACCTTGGAGGGAGGAAGTTTACAAGGAGACCTGTAAATGGTAGAACTACAGCTAGAGTTAAACTGTCAGGGACGGAAACTGAAATACTTTGTGGGATTATTGTTACAGTAATGATTCTGCAATGTTTTTCATGAAAAGGCACCCACTCGAGCCTTCGTTAGGTCCTGTGTCAGGATTTTGCTGAGCTTCATTAAAAATCTGGTTTCTGAACTTCAAACATCCAGAAATCTGAAAAAATGTACCTCATTCATCTACCCTAACATATAACCCAGGATAATCAGCTCTTAGGATTTTTGGATGTTATTTTTTTCTCCTTCCTGCAAACATTCCTTTTGGTATCCATAACTAAGATTTGTTTGTTTGTTTTGACCCGCTAATCTGAGCCTATGCCAGGATACAACCTTCAACCATCGTATAGTCTGGCTGTAGGGCGCATGATGCTACCACAGAGACACACAGCCCCTATATATATATATATATATATATGGAAAGTTTAATTTTTTCAATGTAAACAATCAGCTTTATTTGTCAAGGTAGTGAACACAAACAAGGTATTTAAAATTTGTTCCAATTTGCTCCTAATTTGAAATGTTTTCTAATATAAAAGAATGTAAATATATACTATAGAGGAAGAAAGAAAGTTTTTTTTTTTAACTAAAGATAAATGGGTTGTATTGATCCATTTTGCTCATCAAAGAGAATCTTGCAGAAGAAACTGACAGCCAATTCTTTTGTAAATACTCTCTCTAGCGCCAACTTGTAGGTCTAAACAGGTTGTATCCAGGACGAATCAGGTCTGCAGAGATGTTAGTTTCCCTTTTTCTCATACCTCTGTTGTTGCTATTTGGATCCATGATTCTTGTGGATGTGCAGAAAAAAGACTGAATTATGCCAGTGTAGAGATTACTTGCAGCCCAGGAAGAAGGTTGAGGGTCTTATGCCACAGAAAAACCAAAATGGTTTCATCCTTTAATTTTGAGATGTTTCACATATGGGTCAACAGAGATAGGAGTGGTGGGGAGATAACATCCCATGGCTGATGGTTCCTGATTGGCAGAAGATGCTTCTCCTCTCTCATCTAACCCTGTTTTGGTCAGTTTCTGGGACCAAGATGATGTTGGAGTGTTTGAAACATGATGGAGCCTCACACAGCTCCAATCACTGATGACTCTTACAGGCTGTCAGGCAATGAGTGGAAAACAGCGGCAGGTCTTAGAGCTTTTCTTTTTCTGACGTCCCAGGTTGGAGGTTTTAAAGAGGAGGGCAGGTGTTTAAAGAGCTTTAAAGAGTTTTTAGGAGGGCTGCTTTTCAAACCTCAGTGGGAGCTGTTAAGGTCATCTTCCAGGGGGGGTTGCTCTGTCTCTGGCGGGGGGGAAAACAATGTTTTTAGACCAATCCAAACTGCAGCAGGGGTTTTAAGTAAAAACATGTTTTTTAGCTTCTCATTGGTTCTTTAGGGCCCTGATCTTCTTGCTCTGGTTGTTTCCAGTCTCCTCTGCTGAAAGCCTCTTTGTAATCCTTGGTAGTTTCCTCAGCTGTGAAGCGAACCACAGATTACCACCTTGTTCATCAATGCTTCTATTCAAATAAACTTCATTATGATGTAACTCTGCTTCTCAACTTTAAAAAAGTTATTTTCCACTCCATGTATTTGTTCAGCTCTACTGTACTTCCTCCCCTAATTGTGGACAAACAGCAGCTCTTCTGTTCCCATTTTCTCTCTGCAAACTCAACCTTTCATTTTTAAAACTAGGTTTCTCTTTTTAAAAGCATAGAATAGAGTTGAATGAAACGTATCTGTAAAAAGCTGTATTAAATGGGTCCAAATGATGAACCTGAAATGATGCATATCGTCCCTGTAGGCTGAAATGTTTCAGGCTTTCAGTCCTTGTTGTTGTGATGGGAAAGCTATGTGGAGGTTCACCTGTTCCTACTGAGTGCTCCATCCTTACAGCCATCACTAATGAGGATTCATTTCCTCTAAGCGCCACATTAACAGATTGCTCCCCTCGTGGACTCCATTATCTTCAGTGACTGAGATGGACAGGATGCATCATGGAAAAAAAACACCTGCGCTCCATTTGGGAGAAAATCTAATCCTGATGGGGACGATCCCGCGCTTTTTTTTCTATGTTTAGATTTTATGAGGGAAAGAGCAGCAGCAGCTAAACTCATTAGCAAATGGAGCAAAGCATTTAGCTTGAGTGAGTTTAGAGAACCTGAAGTGTTTGGCTTTTTTTTTTCCATTTTACCCACTGATCTGTCAGTGAGGGGGAGATAAACGCTCATCCATCCCTCAGTGTTCTTCCCAGCATCCAGACTCTTTAACATGACCTTGATCAACATTTCTTCAGGCTTTCAGAAGGACTTATGGAGTTTTATCAATCATTTCCAGTTCCTTCTGACCACCCCAATATTTTGCAGATATTATCTTTACCTAAATATATATTATGTCCTTCAAACAAAACGGGGAAATTACTATCAAAGACTTTATTGAGGATCAATATTGGTGATGTTAATGCACAAAATCTGATCTAAATTGATGCACACCTCTGGAGGTACCTGCTTTCTTACATTTGGGCCTGTTTTAAGATTAAATGTACCAAATCCATTTAATTAAGAAAAGCTGTTGCTATTTTTTGGAATTTATGAGCTTTATTGAAAGTAATCATATGGAAAGAGAAGGAGAATCAAGACTCTTTATTGTTATTATGAGACCGTAATAGGATTTTATTCAATACAGAAATTGAAAAGACCTCCTAAAGAAAATTAGGTATACTCAGAGGACACCTTTAGCTTATAAAATATAAACTACTCAAGGAGAAAAGCACAAAATATTAAACATCCTAAAAGTTAAAAGAAGTTATCTGCTGCTGGTAAAATGCATGAAGGCTATTTTAAGGAACCCATGAGAATATTTTTCTTTTACAGTAGCAGAAAAAAATATTCTCCAACCTTCAATTTAAAACTTTTAAACTAGTTTGACTATGTCTGTTTTTAATTCTTCACAGCTTTACCTTTTTTAATATCCAGGCAATTTTTAGAATTTAGTGAACTTACTGTAAATATCCTCCGAGAAGAAATTTAATAAAAATTTAATTAGAGGCTGCTAATAATATACTGCTTATAATATGTTTACAGCAGTAAGTCACCAAAACTGAAATTCGTCTTTGATGAATTTATGAAAATGAGAGAAAATGAGAGAAAAAGCAGCTGAAAAAACTTTAAGAGACCACAAGAAAGCTTCCAAAACTGTTAAAGGGAAAAACTTTAAAACAATACATGAAGTCAGTCTTCTTGAAGGAATAGAAATAAATAAATGCTGGATCAGGACTTTATTGTTTTATGATCAAATGAAGCGTTGGAGTCTGAGTGTTTCTGCCAGTTTTGCTGGACACTTTATTTTTTGTTTAGTTTCATTAAGTTTCTCAGGAAGAATGCTTTTCTCTGTTAAATCAGAGGAACTGAGTCAACCTGTGGTTAATCCTTCAGAGGAGGTTATTGTTCTCATGCGCTTCAAAATAGTGACTGTGTTCCCAATAATCTGAGCTAATAAAGGAAGTAGAGACTCTGAGTCCTGCAGAGGATCCCGGATAACAAGAGAGGGGCAGAAACATGCTGGACTAAAGATGTGATGCAGCAAAAGGGCTGCAGACATCAGAGAGAGAGGGAGTGGCAGGAAAGGAAGGGAGGCTGGCGGAGAAGAGGGAGAGAGGTGGGGAGGGCTGGTGGGAGTGGAGTACAGTGGAGCCTATAGGGAATCAGGTTTCTCCTACCGAGCAGGACTGAAGGAAAGGGAAGGGAGGAGTCAGACTGTGAAAGACTTCCCTTTAAACACTCCCAGTTATTTAAAGACTTGGAGCTCTGCAGGCCAGTCCCAGGACTCTCCTGGAGTCTCAGTGGCAGTTTAATCCCCTGGACTCTCTCCATCCTAAAGGCCACCTACCCTGGAGCCCACATTACTCTGGTAAGTGTCATATTATAGTTTTCCTGAGTCATTCTTACTCCCTTGAGCTGCAGATGCATGGAGACTCTTCTGAGGTGATGCGTCCAATTTCTACTTCTGGTTCTAATTTACTCTGAGATTCCTGCTGGCTCTACAACCAAACTTTTGGAGGGTTCTACTGGGTCGCATTCCTCACATAGTCACATGTATTAATACAATCCTGGATTAATGCCTCAGCACTAGAGGAGGGTTGTGCAACGTTTCTTGAGTGCATAAAAACTGATTCTAACTGGAATTCTGCACAGCATAAAGCCATCAGATGCTGCTGGTCTTCATGACACATCCTCTGCTTTCATCCCGTCAGATGTCCCCTCTTAGTCATGCGTTTAGGTTTGTGTGTGATTAGTTAACTCCCTCATGAAGTGTGTGACTCAATGGCCCCAAAATAAAACAACACATCAGGGCCAAACAGCAGCTCAGAAGTTTGGATATGGAGTCAGGCGAAGGATGACTGCTGGAAAAGCTGGATGGAAAAGAAAAGTGATGCCTGAAGAACAATAATAGGAGCTAACACAATGTTCTGTGGAAAGAATTCATCACTTTCACAAGCACTTCTCTTTTTGGGCGGGATATTAAACCGTGAATCAGCTGTAAAGGGATTCCTTTCACAGTGTCAGTCATAATGTGGGGGAACTCATACAGTTTTTGAAAGGAAGCAGGAGCTTGGACGTTAAAAACAGCCCAGGACAATGAAAGGAAAGGATAGTTATTACACAGGGAAACAGCTACCGCAACCTGAGAAAGCTTTTCCTTTCCGACTTGGTGTGATCCCCGGTTATCAGCACACAACAGAGATCTAAAGAGACGATCAGCTTTCAGGTTCGAGCTGCAGGTTGGAGACGATTGGTCTCACAGTTTTAAGGCTTTTAATGAGACCCAGATTGAGGCATAAAATGCAGATGGTTTGCTTTGTATTTGTGCTCAACATATCCAAGGCTGATATGCAGATTTTAAAAGGCAGAAATGGTTCTTTCACCTCAAGAGCTTTTGGAAGAAATGTTAACAGACTGTTTACTGCTCAGGTGGTGTTGAACTTATGATGGTGCACCTACAAAAATCCAACTCGAATACCAGTTAAGGTCTTGAACTTTACTTTTTTTTTTCTAAATACCTTACAAAAATCACTGATAGCAGCACACAGCATGCCCTGTTTTAAAAAAACTCAAGAAAAGCTGAGAAACGAAGTCTGTAAGATCAATCTGTCTATTTAAAGATGATATAATTTAGAAGAAAAAGTGGAGTAAAACATGAAGAGTGAAGGACCTTCCCAGGAATGGCCGTCCAACAAAAAGTTACTCAGAGAAAACAGCAAGGATTCATCCACGAGATCAGAGGGGAACCAGACCAAATCTGCAGGTCTGCAAACCTTACTACCTTCATTGGAAATTTCCAACGCCAGAACCACTGCTTACCGAGAGGAACAAATAGAACGATCTTACATTTACAGAACAAATATTTTGATAAACCTTTTGGAAAATATTCTATGGACTTACAAGAAAAAAGGTTAACCTCTATAGAAGGTTGGCTTCCTTCTTCATCTGGGGTAAAGCTAAGAGCATTTAAAGACGGGAAAAAGCATGGGGGTGGTTGTGGGATGGTCTGGGGCTGCTATTTTTTTTTTTTATCAAACTATGAATTCTGTCTGAACCAGATTCTTTTTGCTACTCATGAACAGACCATCCATGAGCAGATAAAATCATCTGTTTGTGATATAAAGCTCTAACAATGATCCACAGCAGATCAGGAATTCCACCTTTGAAAGTATTGGAAAGCTAAAGAAAGTATCCTAGTTCAAGTATGGAATGGAATCTGATCAAGATGCTGTTGTATGTCCTTAAATGTGTTGTTTTCATGCTTGAGGGATCTCCAATGAGCGGGACAAAGTTATCAGGTTAGGAATACAAGGGGAAATAAAGCAAAAACAGGAGCAACCTTTATGGCCAACACTCTTTCTTATACAATCAAAAATCTGGATCCTTTGGAGAGGCCGCATTACAGTCAATAAATCACAGGGAAGTCGGCCTGTATGTGCTCTCCTGGTTTCCATCCAGTGTGGTAAAAGCCTGAACACTGATTTCTCCTCGTCAGCACTCAGTCTGAGTCGGCCTTTCTGCTTCCATCTAATCAAAGACCAGAACGTCTCAAAATACACAGATGGTTAGCTCAGGAATATAGATTTCTGTAAGCTGTTTTACTTAGATCCGGTCTGCACAGTTGATCCTGTATTGGAAATAAAGATCCTTAGTATAATAATAAGCATACCTCACCACCCCACTGCGCTAGTGTTCATCATACAACATAGAGAACATGCTGGTTCCTTCACACAGTGCCCAGAAATTCCTGCATCACCAGGGAGATGACACTAGAGCCAAAGAAAATCTTTACCGAGCTGTGAAGAGCAGGACGTCTTCTGGACTGTTAATGAGCGAAAAAGCACCCAGAACCAAGGGAAATTCTTTAGAAAGCTTGGAAAACATTTGACCAAGAACTAATTGTTAATATCTTAAGTGTCTAACAATGCGAAGTTATTCCAAATAGTTTAGTTTGAACTCAAAGAAGTTAAGATTTCTCTAACATCTCTTTCTTTTACAGGACAATATTTCCACTCATGTTCTAAAGATTAAGATGGAGCTTGAAGGTTCACGTGAGTCAACTGTTTTGCTAATATCTGTTCCCTAGAAGATTATGTTGGGTTTGATACTCTGCTTTGTTTTTCCCTGAAGTTCACAAGTAAATGGAACCAGAGGTTTCAAAAGTATTATTATTTATTACTCAAGTAGAAGTAAAAGTCCCACTGTTTATTAAAACATTTTTGTAGAAGTTAGAGTATTAACTTACGCTTTTTATTCAAGTAAAAATGTAAAAGTACAATTTTTAAAACTACTTAAAGTATAGAAATAAAAGTAATGGGGGTAAAGAAAAGTAAAGAAAAATACTTCAAACATACTGGTTAGTGCACTACCCTATTAAACGAGTTTTTGTAAAATTCTGAATGATCATGTCCTTATACTTAATTTTCTTAGTTTGATAACTTACAGTGTCAGATTTAACTTTGCATCATGTTGAAAAACTATTACTTTTAGTATGTGGGAAACAACAAGTTGGAGCAGTACCGAGTCCAACCCCATAGAAATTAATTGTCTGGATGACACTAATTATTTTGATGGTTTTTATTTTTTTTAATACTAACAGGCCATAACCAAAATTAGTTTAAATTAAAAAAAGGGAAAAGTGTAAAGTTGTCTAAAAGGTAACTACTTCAGTGAAGTATAGATAGCCAAAATCTCTACTTAAGTAAGGTAACGAAGAATTTGAACTTGACAGTTACTTGACACGTCTGAATGAAACTGAGCATAACTTCCCACCAGACCTCAGTACTGGTTGCAGTTTATTCTGGGAGATTTCCTGCTTCTCTTCTTCAAAGAAGCAAAGATTTTCTTTTAGCAATCACTGCTGACTCACTTTCCCAACAGCCTGTATAAATACAGTGGCACTTAAGATTTTACACATTGTTGTGAAAAAGAAAGAAAAATGTTTCAAAACCTTTTCCACCTGTAATTTGCCAAATCTCCTTTACAATTCAGCTGAAAATGAACTGGATCTATAGAACAGTGCTTCCCAAACCTTTCCACCATAAGTGTAGCATTTGTCATGATTATATCTATGATTTCCTTTAGGTGTCCAGGATGACCCACACGTCAAGCTGATGATGGGTGGGTCCACTCTGAGGAAGATCAAGTCCCGCTCCTGGAAGAAGCAGCGGCATTTTCGCCTGCTGGAGGATGGACTGACGATTTGGTACAAATCCAGATGGGCAGGAAAGGGCCACTCAACCTGTAAGTGCACACCCTCATAGCATGAATTGCCTCTTTCATATGAGTTGACAGGTGATTGAGGAAATTACAGGTTATCGTATTCAGTGAGAGAATGAAACAACTGGAAATGAAGGAGAAAGCCTTAGATGCTCCTAAAGGGTTAAAGGAGTCGAACAAAAAGAAAAAGCTGCTCTCCAGAACAGAACCAAGTCAGAGACTTAAAGATATTTATTAATGACCTCCTTTGGTTGTAGCTTTGTTATTCCCATCTTTTAAAAACCATCTCTAATCTGGAGCATGACATTCTTGAAATCTTTTAAATTGGTCTTAAGATTACTCTAAATAGTTTTTCAAAGTTTTCTTTTTAAATTTTTCCAATAATAGCATCTGATTATTTTGGGTGAATTGTTTCTTGCTTTGTTTATGTTCAATTTCTAATCCTTTTTACAAACTTAAAAAGTGCTCGGAAAGTTGAGACCTCGGCATAGTAGCTCACTTTCCCCGACATATTATGTGTCCACCAAATGTATTCACAAAAAACATTTCAAAATGCTGCTGTATCCCGATCCAGTGATCGGGATCATCACCAAATAATAATTGTAATAATTTATTCCCAGTAGCAGTATGCACCTTCTCTGAACATTTCAACAAAATCCATCCAGAACCTTTTTGGTTATTTAGAAAACAGACAAACAGACCAACAAACAAACGAACCAACATCGATGAAAACATGACCTCTTTGAGGGAGGTAGTAATCGAAACATAACAAGTCTGAATGTTTTACGGTCAAAGGGAACCTAACATAATATGAGAAAAGCTCAGATCCTGGACAAGCCCCCAAACAAGTCACTTTCTTTGAAATATGTCAAAATGAATCATTATCAGTCAAATATAAGTTAAAGGAAAATATTATTAACAAAATCAGAGAGAAAGAGATGGTGCCCCAAATTAAATGGAATGAAAGACACATACCGCTAAAGCAATTGGTCATTGTATTCTAGTGGTTTATATATATGAAAACCCAACAACAGACTCTGGCTGGTTTTTACTTTGTTGTTCTTTGTTGTTCCCAGTATCTATTTGCATACTCACAGAAACAGAGATGGAAAGCTAAATAAAATGGTTTGAAAAGCACAACCCAGCCAAGTAGTTGATGAAAGGATTCTGCTCACTTCCTTAGACTGAAACGAAAACAACTTAACCCACAAACAAAGAGTGACAACAGAACCCCTTTTTACTTCTTACCATTTTGTTTCTTTGTATGCACCTTTTCCATTTCTTAACAATTTGTTTCATATTGTTCCAAATATGCATCAGTTATCTCGAGTCTTAGAGATGTTTGATTCCTGCTTGGACAACTAAAGATTTATCATACTTTTTTTTATGAACTCATAGCATACTTTAAGAAAATTGGGTTCTTTGTGCAAAGTAAATTTTATATATTCTCAGAAGATCAATCAATCAGCTAGTCTCTCATGTTTTCATTTCGAGATAACGGTATCTGCCAGCATGGAAAATTATTTTTGTCCTTCCTAACATTTCAGTTAATAGAAATTGCTTTTACATACGTTGTATTGCTGAACTGAAAAAAAAAACTTTGCTTTTTTTGGAAAGCATGCTACATTTGAATAAAACCTTCTCAAAAACCCAGAGAACTCTAGTATTGATCAAGAATCATCTTAAAAAAATGAGAGAATGTCTGACTTGTTTGAAGGACAGAAAGAAATAAGACCTCAGTTAATATAGTTGCAAATTATTTTAAGGAGAAGTGTAAACTGACCTAAGATCACAAACTGTGTGGAAATCAATGCATTTCTTTCTAGCTTCTAGATTTTAAAGTCCCATAAAAAAAAAAAAAGGAACAGTTTTTACATCTTGGGCTCTGATGGCAACCATTGTACAAACTGATAGACACAGATCTAAAAACGGGATGAAGAGACTCAGGTATCAGATCTAATTAATTAGAAGGATTATTGAATAGGAGGCTTGAGTATTCAGACAATTTGGTGCCAGACTGCAGCTCAATGTCATTCCGCAAAATTAAAGGAAGTTGAAATACTGATATATTATACAAAGATGAAGGAAGGACCATTCAGGAGAAACAAGTCAAGGAGAAAATGTGATAACAGTGATGCTTTGTCTTATTGATCACAGAAATCACTGGATTGCAATAAATCGTGAAACCCACCACAGTGACTTTTGTCTGTAATAGTTCTACACTTGTGTCTCAGTCTCAGTGATGGACCTGGAAGCAGTGCGTGAGGGCCATCAGTCTGAGGTCATGCTGAGCATCGCTGAAGAATTTCCCTCTGAGCTCTGCTTCACTTTGGTGTTTCATGGACGCCAAGGAAACCTAGACCTCGTGGCCGACTCTCCAGAGGAGGCCCAAGCTTGGATCCAGGGAGTCCGCAAGCTGATTCACAAAGCCCAAACCATGGATGAACAGGAGAGGCAAGACCAGTATCCCTAACTCTGGTGTTTTAGGAATGCTGTTAGTAAAGGATTCTACCTACATTAACTAGATCAGACATGTGATAATTAAATGTGAGCTTTTGCATTGGTTAAGGTTTTCCTCAGCATCTTCTCAGATGGGTGCGAGACTGGTTTCAGAAAGCCGATAAAAACAAGGATGGGAAGATGAACTTCAAAGAAGTGAAGACGCTGCTGAAGATGATGAATGTGGAAATGAATGAAGATCATGCTCTGCATCTGTTTACAGTAAGAGTCTTGTCTAAAAAGGGTTTCTAGAGATAAAGAACCAGTAATGTCTTTTCCATCCTCAAGAAGTGGTAAAGCTTTTGTCAAACTTTGTTTTGCTTGCTGAATGCTGCAGTTTTTACACAGATAAAGCTGCATTATATTCGCCAATGTGGGTTGCATTTGTGTTTTTCACTGAGCCACTTAACTATTTAAAACCAGTAGAGGTTAAAAGTTGAAAACATTACTTAAGCAAATTGAAAAAGGGTTCAGGAGAACAAATGACACAGAACGAAAGCAGAAAGTCATCTGACTATAACAGCTTCCTGAAACTAAATGTGTCTCATTGTCTCTGGCTTTTTTTTTGTCTTAATAGTTGTGCCTTTATCTCCATAAAATTTCTAATCATAAACTGTCATAATCTACGAGACTTTAGCTCTGTGTCTCACAGTGTTTACTTTTGCACTGTTTTGTATTTTTACATACATTTTCCTGTTTTTTGTTGTAAATTAGCTTTTTCTTTACACACTTTCAGAATAATCTGATGTCCTCTTTTCTGTCATCGAGTTTGAAACAAAACCACAACATTTAAAAAGTTCAAAAGTGGAGATGAGAAAAAGAGGTGTCATATCCAGCAAAAACCTGACATGCATTTTCTGTCAATTTATTCAGATTCTTATATTAAGCGAACAACAATTTACCTAAACTGGATAATATTTTTTTTTTGTAATTGCTTACCAAGTTGTGTGTCAGCAAATCTCTTGTAAATCCAAGTTTTCCCAAGGTACAGTATTATCCTCTGCTGTATCTTGTAAAATTATTTAGTGGGTCAAAGGTAAACTGTCTTTGTTTTGGTTAGATAAATGACCTAATGGCAGAAATAGACTAACAACAGAGTTCTTTTAACGATAAAATAGAAAATATAAAGATGATGTAGCACAAGGAGAGCAGAGCATTGGGCACATACAGATGAAAAGGTAGAATAAGTGAAAAATCCAGAAATGAAAGGTCACAACCAGAATGCATATACACAGAGGGAAACATGCAGAATGACACTGAATGCAGGTGGGAAAATCAAGGCCTTATGTGGAACAGTTGATAGAGGAGGAACGCAGGGAGACTAAAGGAGGAAGACTCATTAATGTGAGAGAAGCTTTACTTAGTAGGGATAATTAACATAAATCACAGAAAAATAACTCCAAATATACAAAAAAAAAAAGAAAAATAATCTAAGAAATGAAACACAACAATGTTAACTTATACTTTGAGGACATTAAGGAACACAAAATAAAGCACAAATGACTTGGATATCGCTTATAAGCAGACATTTCTGTATATCCATCTTGTTAAAGCCAATTTCTTTTCTTCCAGATGGCTGACAAATGGGAAAGCGGTTCCCTAGAAATCGAGCAGTTTGTCCACTTCTATAAGATGCTGACTCAGAGAGATGAGGTGTGGAAGGTGTTCCAGGACTATTCTGGAGATGGAGAGAAGTTAACATTGGAGGAACTGGAAAACTTTCTGAGGGTTGAACAGGGCGAAGGTGACCAGAGTTCCAGGCATGCCCAGGAGCTGATCCAGGCTTACGAACCCTCTGAGACGGGTACTTTCATTTCACATGGTGTCATTTACAGCTTCTGCATGAGCATCCCCAGCTGTATATGAGTGAAAAGCGCCAGATCTGCCCATGAGTTGTTTTATGCAGTAAGGGGAACATGGTTGGGTTTGTTTAACCAGTAAACTGACTGAGTTTACTGTAAATAAAAGGAGTAGAAAAGGTTTGGTTGGACCTACCCTTATAAGGGAGTGAAAAAGATCATATTTCTTTTATTAAGATATAAATATTATTAGTTAAACTATTACATTTCCTCATTAGAAATTGTTAATTTATATTTGGACTACCTGGAAAACACCTATCTGAAAACTGATGGTTATTAAGCATGGACTGGGTTGAGTTTTCTCAAATTTGGGTCAGAATTTGTTCAAAACACAAAAACACCTTTGATAGATTGTTTGGAAGCTGCTATAAAAATCCTCAAACTGAAAGCATTCATATTTTGTGAAAACTAAATTCAAGTCAGATCTATTTTGGGGCCAAAGAGCCCAAGAAAATTTAGAAAAACAAAACTCAGAAATTCAAATCTGACTTTGTTTCCATGCCAACACAAATGCAATCCTTTCTATGTTCTTTCAATATAATAAAATATAGTTGTAAATTTTTTTTTCCAAGTCCAAGTTTAACACATTTTTTTCCTTGTGTAACCGGACTTCAGAAAACCATATTACTAGAAACTGCTAGTGGTACTTATAAGGTAACAGTTTCTCTGCTATTCTGCATTGGGTTTTGCGCTTGTTCACAAAAAAAAAAAAAAATATATATATATACAGGTAAAAAATATATAAAAAAAAAATATATATTTGATATTGATATTGACTTTTAAGTGCTTCCTCTATATCGCACAAAATAAAGAAAGTGGAAGGGAGTTTGTTTCTCAGATGAAATATCAAATTTGCTAACACCTTCCTGGGTCACAGTTAGTGTACCATCATCCCAGGATTGTTTGATTCGCTTTCAGTTCTGTTTGTTTGGGCAGATTTAAAGCTCTTTTAAACACAAGTCTTCTTTCACTTTCGAGTTCACCCTGGTGCGGTTTTTTTCACGCTGGGAAATGCAAATGGTTTATCCAGCAGAACAATGAGAGGACTTCAACCAAACACACTAAATCTTAACACTGCCTCGCCTGCTACAGATTTTTAAAGAAAAAGCTTTAAGGTTTGAAAGTTAAAACATAAAACATCAGTTTGTTTAAGTTTGATGTTCTGAACAAACAATGATCTCTGTGTTCTTCTACTTTGGGCCTTTTTTCCCTTCCAAGTCCTTTCTTGTTTTAGACCACACTACCTCAAACAAGCAGCTGCAGTAATTGATGCTCAGTAGGTTTAGGCAGATTTCAGTGAGAAAGTGAACCAAATCAAATTAAAGCATAACAGTGCTTGGTATTTCCTACCAAAATAAAACAGGTTATCTGTTATAGCCGGGTGTAAAAGGCCTATAATGACAAATAAAGAATGATTTATTATCCATTAGAGCCCCGTATCTTATCCCTTTAGATCTGTTTTCCTCCTTGTGAGCATCAATTTAAGCTATCTGATCTTTTGTTCTTTCCATATTTCATGGATATAATTGCTGTGTAAACTGGATTTGTATCTCCATCTCTTTGCAGCCATGAATCAGAGCTCCATGTCCCTGGAAGGCTTTCAGATGTACCTGTGTTCCCAGGAGGGCTCCATATTTAAGCCGGAGCTCCTTGAACTTCACCAGGACATGAGCCAACCAATCAGCCATTACTTTATCTCCTCCTCACACAACACCTACCTCCTGGAGGACCAGCTGAGAGGGCAAAGCAGCCTGGAGGCATACATCCAGTGAGGACTGCATGAACTTACCACTTAACATGAGAATTAAACATCAAGGCACAAAGGAAAATATCAAATTGTCTTGTTGAATGTCAGGAAATGGGAGTTTGAGTCCTTCATCAAACAGAATAAAGACACAGTTGCTTTTAATGTCTCTGCTTCTGTAGAGCCCTGAAGAGAGGCTGTCGCTGTGTGGAGGTTGACTGCTGGGACGGCAGTGACGGGGAACCCATCGTCTATCATGGCCACACTCTAACTTCAAAAATCCTCTTCAAGGACATTATTTCAACGCTTAAAGAGTACGCCTTTAAGGTGAGGAGGAAATGTTTGAATGATAGAATGAACAGGGGGGTGTGATTGCAAACATAACATGATCGCTCATGAAATCTGGATCATGACCGAAAGAACGAGATCCCGGATACAAGCGGCTGAAATGAGCTTTCTCCACAGGGTGGCTGGGCTCTCCCTTAGAGATAGGGTGAGGAGCTCGGTCATTCGGGAGAGGCTCAGTGTAGAGCCGGTTCTCCTCCACATCGAGAGGAGTCAGTTGAGGTGGCTCGGACATCTTCTTCGGATGCCCCCTGGACGCCTCCCTTGGGAGGTGTTCCAGGCACGTCCCACCGGGAGGAGGCCCAGGGGACGACCCAGGACACGCTGGAGAGACTACGTCTCTCGGCTGGCCTGGGAGCGCCTAGGGCTTCCCCCAACAGAGCTGGAGGAGTTGTCTGCGGAGAGGGAATTCTGGGAGTCTCTGCTTAGTCTGCTGCCTCCGCGACCCAGTTCCGGATAAAGCGGGAAACGACGAGTACGAGTACGAGTATGATCGCTCAGCTTGTAGGATCACCTTCAGAACCAGAAACTCTCTGCAGTGGTTTTCTGTCTGACTTTATCAGTCTCTTACAGCGGTACTGAAGTCTTTTCTCTACTTCATAACAGAACAGCAGGCAAAATATGGCCTTTTTTGACCTGCTGTATCTTAGCCAATATAAATTCCACTGTGGGGGGTAGAATAGGTTGGATACTTTGGAAAGTCTCTTCCCTTGGAATCTGCTGGCAGTTTATTTGCAATCTCTAAGAAAGGCTTTCCGTTTCTGACTGAGAACCTTCATCAACCTAAGAAAGGCTTCTTTTTTTGTCATCAAATGCACAACGTTCACTTGATCAAAATCAGTCATTTTTGTCGGCTGTGACAGGAGAGCTGCTACGCTTTCCTCCTCTCCTGCTCTGCTCTGTCTTTCACCCTGAACCTGGACCTGTGCCATCTATCCTCTCTTCTGGCGCTAAGCTCAAGTATTTTTTTGTAAAATAAAAGTTGTTTTCCCCTTTACACTAGCTAGCGGATGCTATACTTTAAAACCACTTTGATAAACGTATTGCTTTTTACCTGGCTCTGATAGGCATCTTTCTTCTGCAATTCTGTTCCTGGACCTCTTCCTGACTCATCCTCAGTTTATTTTTTATATTTAGCCTCTCAAGCCTTTGATGTCATCTTCCCTTTTCACTTTTTTTTTCTGTGCACCGGACTTCTGAAAATCTGAAATTCTTAGTTTGCAGCGAAACAAACTTCAAAAGTTGCAGCCCGCCATTGTTGTTCATTCTATGTAGAGTCGGGCGGATTCTAATGGCCCCCTTATTAAATACACTTAGTTACTCTGATATTAAACATTTATATCACAAATATTTTCTGAAAAATTACATCTGCCTGTATTTTTTATGGTCAGAGTGTCAATTTTGGGCCCCCCTCTGTCCTGGGCCAGGGACAATTGACCCCTTTGTCCCCCCCCCTGTCGGTGGGCAGGGTTAGGCATAGTAGAGGCTCAGCTAACAGCTATGTGTAGAAGAGAGACAGAGCTGACCACTAAAGTCAGGGCCAAGTGTATCAAGAGAAAAACAGCAGCAGCAGCAGGGAGGCTCATATTGGAGAAATAGGATCTCTCTTTTATATTTTTATGAGAACTCTTGCTGCAGTGTTTAGTTTAGGATCATTGTTCTGTTGATGACCCAGTTTGGACTGAGGCTCAGCTGTTGAAGTGACTCTTAACATTTTGGTATACGGAGGAGTTTGTGGTTCATTTAAAGACTGCAAAGAGACCAGGTCCAACAAAATAAGCCTGAATTATAATATGTTCACCTTGACAACTGGTATAAGGTGTTTATTTGAAGTTCATCTAAAGCTACATTTTATCATTTTATCACCTGTTAAGAACCAAATGAGTTTGCTATTAAAACACGTGTAACATCTGGAACTGCATTGTTCTTAAACATAAATTGCTGTCTTTTAAGTAATGCCTATCCGTCCACTTATGTTGGCCTGAAACAGAAGACACATTCACCAGAAACGATCCCCCCTAAGTGTTATTGCAGGAAATTTCACTAATGAAGTTGCACAAACCTCTAATTGACAGACTGAACCAGTGTCTCTGATAATTATCTAACCATTACCCCATGTGAAAACAATCCATTCCTCAAACCGCAATGTTTGTCCTCGGTGGACTGAGCGTGTTGATAAAAAGGCTTAATCTTAATGCAGTTTAAAATCTCTGTTACCTCAGGAGTTGAGTGGACCACTTGTTCAGACTGTCTTTGTTAGTTTGATGTTTTTATTAATTTAGCATCTAGTTGTGCTGCACGGTGGTGAAGTCTGTAGCACTGTTGCCTTGCAGAAAGACGGTTCCTTTCTGCATGGGGTTTGCATGTTCTCCCCGCGTATGGATGGGTACTCTGGCTCCTTCCCACAGTCCAAAAACATGACTGTTAGGTCAGTTGGCTTCTTTAAATTGTCCTTATATGTGTGTGCATGTGTGCATGGTTGTGTGTCTTTCTGAGTTTCTATGTTGCCCTGCGATAGACTGGCAACCTGTCAAGGGTGTACCCGCCTCTAGCCTAGACTGCTGGACATAGGATCCGGCCTGACAGTGACCCAGACAGTATAAGTGGGAGAAGATGGATAGATGGATATTATCCATTTATCTATTTTTATAGAGACAGTACAATTAAACATTGTTCTCTTTAGGCAACTGTTGAAGCAAAAAAAAAAAACTTATAGACAAAGGGTAATTAGGTTTTGGCAAAGCTGATTTGTTAAGCTGAGTATAAAGAAATGAATATTATAGCTGTTATTCTAAGCTAAGTACAGGTTTTGTCTTATCCCCCCAACAGGTGTCCGACTATCCTGTCATTGTGTCTCTTGAGAACCACTGTGGGGTGGAGCAGCAGACCATCATGGCCAAACATCTTCGCCAAATTTTGGGCGAGATGCTATTGACGGCCCCGCTGGACGGACAGACACCTCAGCTGCTTCCCTCGCCTCAGGTTTTACTTTTTCTTCAACATTGTCTGATTTATCCTAGAGACAGTTAAAACCAATGATATATTGCACTATGTTTCTCAGTTTATTAATGATTCCCATTGGTTCCATCTCAACACATAAAAGATCTTTGGCATTAAATGTTTCTGGAGCTTGTCCCATTCTTCCTTTAAAGGCATCTTAAATCTATGCAAATTCATACGCGTCATCTCAAGGCACTTTACAAAACATTCCCAGTGGGTTATAGTTATAATCGCTGCCAAGTTAAGTTTATTTTTCAAATCGCATAAGAAGTTTTCTATCGAAGCAAAATCCAGCAATTTGCATCGAGTGTTGACTCATAAGGCACTAAATTAGTGACAGTCGACAGTTGCTTGAAAACTTAAAAGATTTTGTTGTTTTTTTGTATTGCTTGCAATGAAATATACATAGCTTTAAAATGATTGATTGTACTCATGGGGAAAACTTAGTCTTAGTGGCTGATTGCTTGCAAGTCTTCTAGTTTTGCAACTCGTCACCCTAGCTGTCTCCCAAATTATTTTGGTTAGCTAAATAAAAAGGATTCCTTTTTAAAGTCTTTCCCTTTTCTGTATTTCATAAGCTTCACCTCAAATGTTGCATGTGTTTATGGTTTTCATTCAAGAAGACAAAAGTTGTTCCCAGATACTAAGCTGAGGAATCTCATGAAAACTTTGTTCCAAAATAAGTGATCTAAAAAATGTACATCAGACTTCATCTTGTTTTCCATTTAGCACAGATGTTAAAAGCACTACTATTTATACCTAATGATGCTCTCTCTTCATTGAAGCTCTTAAAACAATCAATGCAAAGTTGAAGTAATGGTGGATGAACGCTGTAAGAGAATCCACTGAGGAATTAGTCGAAAAAGACAGTGCTGCAGTGCTACATTTAGTTATGAAACACTTAAGTGCAGAGAAACAAAACATCTTCAGTCCGACTCTAGATCCTACGGACAGAACCTGGTTTTCCTCATTGTTCAACACAGGAACTGAAGGGAAAGATTTTGCTGAAAGCCAAGAAAATTGGCGGGCTAGAACCATGCCTGGATGAAACTCTGACTGATGAGGTTAGCGATGAAGACGAAGCCGCCAATGGTGACACAGAAAGCCCCTGCACAGAAGATCCACCAGCAGAGACGACGAACAAGGTGATTTCTAATGCATCGAGCTTTTGCCGTTTTTTTTATTTACATGAACTGGTTATTCTCCAATTTTGGCTTCTGTTGTTCTCTGAAGTCTGATATCCCAATCTTCCCATCAGAAATATATCAATTATTCAACTGTTTATTAATACTTCTAACTGTTGGTATCTCACTGGAATTTCTACACACTGGTTGCTGTACAAATACATTTATATCTTACATATTACGACAGTGTTTGAATGTATCAACTTAAAAGGAATTAAACATTTTTGTTTTAGTTAGTGCCATATAAGTTAGCTAGTACCAGAACATGTTTAACTACCAGGCAACATTTCTCCCAGAGTTCCAGTTTCTGGTTGGCTTCATAGCTTAGAAAGTTAGTAATATGCTGATCAAGATTCTCAGTCGTAGGACTCAGTCATAGTCAAAAAAGTTAAAAACAACCCACTAAAAGTTGTTTCCAAGTTTGAAGACGTTTCACTTCACTTCCTTTTTTTATTTTTATGAAAAAGCTTCCTGGATGGGAAGCAAAACGTCTTCAAACTTGGAAACAAAGTCCAGTGGATTGTTCATTAACTTTTTTGGAAAGTTAGTATTGCTGTACAAAATATACATGTTTTTATTTATCCATAAAATCTTTTACCAAACATTTTTAACCTGTGAAGAGGAGCCTCTTTTGAGCCCCTCCTAGTAAAAAAACTAATATTACAATAATATTACTATAATAGAATGTTCTTGTCCTTGTTCTTGTCTAACTCGGGTTCAGTCGTAAATTCAGAATCTGGCTGGTTGGGTCCTCTGACCTTTTGCCATCAGTTTATTACTCTTCAGTCCAGTGGCTCAGGTTAAGGTTATTGCAGTAAAAGGTGGGATTTCAGTTGAAAAGCCCCACTCTGTTTGCCCCTAACCGTTTTGCCTAGTTAGTGTTAGCCTAGATTAGTGTGTGTTGGGGTCCTTGATAAAAGCTTTAAATACAAATATAAAATATGGTTTAACATCAACAGAGGCAGATTAAAGACACCCTCCTTTGCAATATTGCTCTTTTCATAAACCATAGATGGCTTAAAGCTACCTTGACCCCACCTTTAAGAGTTTTACATTTTTTTACTCTTATTTCTTTGTTTATTATATTTTTTCTTGTGCTTTGTTTTAAGCTCCATAAAGGTGTAACCCAGGAAAGTCAGAACTAAAAATATACAGTTGAAGCTAAATCCCATCATTTCTTTCTTTAAACTACTGAAGCAAATTTTAAAGAAAACAGCAATTATTGTCTGAGATTTAAACACTGCTGGAAACATAGCTTCTGATTATTGGTTTCAGGTGTCTTACCTCTTGTGAGGAACGTTTGTCAGGTTTGCTCCAAAACAATGTTGGTTTTACTTTTAATGGCTACCTTCATGACTGAATCATATGATGAGTCAACTGTTCCCAGAACTCTGTTTGTTGTTGTTTTTATGCAACTCTTAACACTGTTTAGCTGATAACGTGTAGGATGTTGTAGCCAAACACAAACTGAATCATCTACCAATCTGAGACTGCGCTGCATTTTAACCAAATTACTACCTAGAGCTACCTTCACATCAGGTTTGTAATGGCAGAGCCTTACTGAACTCAGTCCATAAATAATCAGACATTTAGGAATAAAAGAAAACATTTAGTTTGATAAGTATTTTATATTTTGTACTCTTCCTTTTGCAGAAGTCCAAATTGTCCAGAGAATTGTCCGACCTGGTGGTTTACTGCAAGAGTGTTCACTTCCATGGCTTTGAGCATGCTCAATCTCAGGCCAAGTGTTATGAGGTGTCTTCATTCTCTGAATCCAAAGCAAAGAAGCTTGCTAAAGAAGCAGGTATGTGGTATTAATTACAAATAAATGGCTTTGTAGCTGTTTTGACCTGCAATACTAGAATATTACATTTAAATATAGTCTTTCGCAACTTTAGCTGAGTGTGGTAGGTGGGAGAGCTTATTGTTAAAGATACAGAAAAGCAGCATGTGTTTTTCTCTGCAGGGACACAGTTCATTCAGTACAACACTCGGCAGCTGAGCAGAACCTACCCCAGTGGACTGAGGACAGATTCCTCCAACTACAATCCACAGGACATGTGGAACGTGGGGTGCCAGATAGGTAGGAAGTAAATACCGCCATCTGCTGGTTAAAACCGCTCAAAAAGTATTGCCTCATGACACTTCCTTCACATTCTGGACCAGGCATCCTCAAAGTCGGTCCTCGATGGCCACTGTCCCGCAAGTTTAAGAGGTTTCACTGCTCCAGAAGAGCTGATTTGCATTGATAGTTGATTAACAGGCTTTTGCTGAACTGTAATCATGAGAGTCAGCAGTGCTGAAGAAGAGAAACCTCGAAAACCTGCAGGACAGCGGCCCTCAAGGACCAACTTTCAGGATGCATGTATCTGAACGGTTTGTCTGCAAAGTTTACTTCACTTTTAGTCAGCTGTTAATGTTTCTTGCTTTTCCTCCTAGGCCTCTAACAGAGTAGGTATAGAAGTGATGAAGAGGGATATAAATATAACTCCCATCATATCCAGGTTCTGATCTGATGTGGCAGTTCACAATCGCAAACAAAGTTTGATGGTTTTTATAGAGGAAGGACGTTGGGAGTGGATAATGTCAATCAATAAGTCATTTAGGTATTAATGCACCACTGCAGGACTTAAATGAAAGTGGAAAATCTATTCCATTACCTCATTTCAATGGGTGATAAAAGAAACACTGATTGAAGATAAATTATTAATTTCATTCTTGGAAATGAGGCTATTTATTTGCATACAGTAAACATGCCTGACTTTGACTTAAGGTTTTTTATTGAGCTAAATGTTTAAAATAATGTAGAAACTACATCTGCTCAAATCAACATTATTGGAAAGTTTTTTAGTTGCAAACATTTCTTTGTGCGCAATTGGAGGATCGTAAGCAAGGAAACCTAAAACCTGCAGATAGCTTTGATATTTTCCCTTTGTGAGTCCATCTGCTGATTGGCTGCAGCTTGTTTTTAAATTTGCACAGAACTGCTAGACAAACTGTTAATTTAGGATCCCATAAGTTAGAACAAGTGCAAAACAAGTTAGGCAAGGAAAAAAAGTCTATTTAGAACTTCATTGAATTTCAAATTGTAATCTTCTGTATTATCTGACTAGTTAATGTACTTTAAATCGATTGCTCTCACAGCCATTTCCTCATTTTTTAAAGCAGTAAAAGAGCTTTTAAAGATGGATGCATCGTTGGACTCTGCTTAGTTTTTATCTGCAAATTTGACATATCTATTTTGATTTCTGGAAGAGAACTGTACAATTAGGCATACAATAAAGAAAAAAATACACAAGAAAATCAAAGTTAATCACATTATTTTCCACTATGTCTCCCAAAGTGGCTCTAAACTTCCAAACAGCCGGTCTGGAGATGGATCTGAATGATGGTCTCTTCAGGCAGAACGGCTGCTGCGGTTACGTCCTCAAGCCCAGCTTTATGAGAGACAGCAAAAGTCAGTTCAGTCCGGAAAGACCAGAAGACCGACAGGGTTACAAACCGCTTCGCTTGTCAATACAGGTTGAAAGCCCTAATGGATTCTGTGTAGATTAGAAGAATAATGTCAGGATGTCAGTTTTTCATCTGGACGTCTGTTTTATCAGGTGATCAGTGCTCAGCAGCTACCAAAGGTGAACCAGAAAGAGGGATCGATTGTAGACCCACTGGTCAGAGTGGAGGTCTACGGTGTCCCTCAGGACCAGGCCAAGGAGGAGACCAGCCACATTAACAATAATGGTACAACACTCCTTTAAATATATAAAATTCACAAAAAATTAATAATAAGATGTTAACATCTCTGCTGCCCTTTGACCTGCAGGTTTTAACCCGGTCTGGAATGAAACTCTGAATTTCATCATCCACACCCCTGAGCTGGCGCTGGTCCGCTTCGTGGTGGAGGACTACGACAAGGCGTCCAGGAACGACTTCATCGGACAGTTCACTCTTCCGTTTACGTGCATCCAGCCAGGTGAGCGGCACACAAAGTGACACCTCTGTGTCTTCAGAAGGTGAAGTCAGGATGTCATTCAAAGCCAACTGTTCTGCTTCCTTCCAGGGTACCGACACATACACCTGCTATCTAAAGACGGAACCTCCATCCCTCCTTCTTCTGTTTTTGTTAACATTAGCATTTCAGAGCTCACATGAAGAAGTCAACAAGTTCAGTGTCCCCTCCAAACTTTAGTCAGTATTAACATGTTTAAATGTCTTACATGAATTTACTGAAAGTGTTTTAGAACCTACTGATCTACAGTTTCAGTAACAAGACATAACTTATATATTTATATATCTGGATATTGTCTATAAAATAATCACCAGGCCTGTAACCGGTCATAAACACAAACTGAGACAGACCGAGGACTGATGACATGTTAAACAGTGTTATTTCCTATAAAAAGAGGGAACAATATGTTTGTTAGTAGCCAAGTATCCTCAGTGATCCAGTAGCTTTTAAATTTCTCAGCAGCGGTTTCCTGTTTGACCAGTCATCTCATGGCTGAGAAAAGGCTGGAATAAACTGGCTGTTAATATGCTGGCTGAGGCAGTAAGAGGTGATTCTAAGAGCGAGATCTGGGAAGTTTATTAAAGTTTTTATTTATTTTTTCATAAACCTGCATTATCTGCTCTGTCTGCCCCTCTTTATTTAAATTTTTGTGAGTATTTTATACAATCTTTTTATGTTTTACCGATAATTTTTGCAGAAGTCTTAACCACTTGCTATGTCCTCCAAAACTGACAGTTTCCTTATGAAATTGACATTATTATTGATATTATTTTGTATTTTGTGTTTTACTTTGTAACTCAATTCTATTTAGTTTATTTATATAGTACCAATTCACAACATGTAATTTCAAGGCACTTTACAGAGACAAGTCAACCAGATCATACAGTCAAATTGATTCAAAGTGTTCTACCTAAGCAAAACCAGTTGATTGCATCGACTCATTGACAGAAGCAGACATAAAGAAAGAAGCAGTCCTTCTTCCTATCAGACTCGGTGCCTATCTTTATACCAAGGGTCTATCTCAATCAGAGTCCCCAGAAAATCATATTGGGTGTGAACATCCTCATTGAATCTTAATGAGTAATAAACGCCACCACCTCTCTAAATACACCGAATCTGACTTTGCGTCCAATCTGACAGAAAATCGTATGAGATGCAAAATCGGATTTGGTGTGCTTAGGGCTAAAGGGTTTGTGTCTCCTCCTCAAAACAGGCTTTTAGATCAATGAGGATTGCAGGTAATTTTTTTTTTTATGCACAACCCCTCTAACATCCCAAAACAGCATCTTAGGTCATTCAAACACTTTTTCAGCCATTCTGCTGTTGGTTAGCTGTTGTGTTTGGGATCATGTTCCTCTTGATGACCCAGATTGGACCAAAACAATGTTGTTCAACAGATGGCTTCTAGAGTACTTTGGTAGAGGAGAATCATGGTCCACTCTGAGACGGCAAGGTGTCCGGGGCCTGTGGCTGTAAAACAAGCCAAAATCGTCATCTGTCTAAAAGACATTGTCCCAGAAGTCTGCTATGTGTCTTTTGTCAAGGGATTACACTTTTTCTTTCTTTCAAACAGCTATTTCAGTGTTTTTCTAACTCCATCCATCATCTCCCGCTTACTTTGTCAGGGTCACTTATATCTAGCAGAATAAGGCAAGAGGCGGGGTGCAGGGCAAGTCACCATTAAAACCGTAGGGCAACACTGAAACACACAACCATGAACACACTAACACCTAGGGACAATTTAGTGATGCCAATTTACCTGAGAGTTTTAGATTTTTGGACTATGGGAGGAAGCCAGAGTTATTATTAGAACTTTCAAACTCCATGCAGAAAGACCAAGGGCCAGGAATTGAACCAAGGACTGTCTTGCTGTAAGCAACAGTGCTACAAACTGTGCCACCATGCATATTGTTTTTCTTATCGTCACATCATAACCTTTAAACTGCTAATTGAGGTTTGTAGAGTTCCTGGGTATTGGTCATTGCCAATGCTCTGACCTTGAACAGAATCCGTCCACTCCCAGGACAATTAGTTGCTGTCTGAGATGTTTTCCTCTTGGAAACCCTCTCTCTAAGGATAGCTTGAAGATGACTTTGTCCCCATTCTCAGATTGATTTGCAACAACAGTTGTTCCTATGACGTCACAACGGATGTCTTTCCACCAAAGCATTGTGTTAACAAACCCAATCTGTTATTAATGTGCTCACACTAAGGAGGAACTTATTGTGTTTGACCAGCATAACTGGGCTGCCTCTGTGAATTAAATACGGTGGGACTATTTTTCACACACAGCTTGAGCATTTTATTTTTATTTTATGAGATTTTAATCCTGTAAGACGTGCTGCGTCCTTTCAGAGACAATTTAGAGATGCTGAACATGAAGGTCTGCTGCATGTTAAAACTGCCTAAACATACTAGCAGCAACATTAACTGGAAGATTGTTGAATATGAAGGTAAAAATGCCAAATATCAGTGTTATAAATATAAAAAATGTCTTAAATAAAGCCTTGTGTCAACTAATGTTGGAATAAACCTTTATGTTGAGAACTTTTAGTCTGTGGCTCATTTCTTTCTTAATTTTATTTACAGTTGGTAAACAATCCGACTTAAAATAATTAACAATGGAACTACTAAATTATAAGAAACTCTAATTGGCAAAATGGAATTAAAATAAATAGAAAAATATAACATTTTTATTTAATTAAAAAAAAAATCACTGAAGGTCACCCCATATAGCACATATGGAAAATGGGAGAACTACTTTGGCCACTGGATTGGGATAAAATATTCTAATTGATCTATAAATGGAAAAATGTTAAAACTATGGAATATGACAGAGTCAGATGATAGCCGTCTCTTTTTGTCTGACCCTGTAATGTTTTGGTTTTGTCATATTGTGTCTCTAGTTTGGGTGAAAAGTGAAAAAATGTCTTTAAGGATTGATCTGTCAATGAAGCTTGATGTGGTTTCTGTTTTACTAGGAGAGTTTATAGACACTCACTTAGTTATACTCAAAGGTTTATCTTTAAAGCCAAAAATAGATTTTCACTTAATATTAATTTCTTTAAAACATTTATTTAGCATTTTTTTTACTTTAGAAAATTATAAGGTTTCAACCATATAACAATAATAAAGCCAGAAAACAGAAACGGATGGAAAGTTCTCAAACGTTTTTCTGAAAATGTAACTTGTGGATGAACGAATTCATTCAATGTGGGTAAATGAATTTCAATGTGTCGGAGAGAGGCTTTTGGGTTGGTACATTAACTGTTTAAATGTATTCTGTGCTTTGATTTATGTTGATCTAATAAAACATTTTAAAAAAGTAAGCCAACTTGCACACAGGGGGCCCGGGTTCGAATTCCCGCTGGGGGGAATGAGCTGCCAGTGTGGGTCCTTGGGCAAGACCCTTGACGCTAATGCCTGCTTCGTAAGTCACTTTAGATAAAAGCATCTGATAAATACAGAAAAATACAGAAACAGTTATTACTCAGATGGAACCAAGAGCGGCTAAATGAATGTTCATAGATCTCAGTATCTTTATGGAGTTTCTGTGTTTTGCTTTGCTGCCAAAACTTCTTCAGACACACAAACTTCTTCATTAGTTGGAGGGGGCTGCTGGTTGATGGATCCTCGTACAGCTCCTGTGCGCAGCGCCCCGTCCAGCGCCTCCTTCAGGGTGAGGACACCACCTTCAGAGTCCCTCAGCACACCCTGTTCCACAGACTCCCCAGGATGGTGCCTCTGGAGATGTTTGACCACCTGGAACCTCTGCTTGGCTCTGTAGGAGCAGTGGCAGCAGGAGAAAGGTCTCTGCTCCGTGTGGGACAGGAAGTGATGTCGGAGCCCCGCCGGCCACCGGAAGGATTTCTGGCACAATCCACACGAGTACGACCGATCTTCCGCGTGCTTCTTCTGGTGGGTCTTCAGGATGAAGCTTGTTTTGAAGGCTTTGCCACACTTCTCGCAGACGTAAGGACGGACATCACAGTGCTGGGTGTCCCGGTGTGAGCGCAAAGCATCTGATCTGTTGGTCCGATACTCGCACTTGTCACAGGCATACGGTTTCTCCCCTGAAGAATTTAAACAAGGAGTTACACCAAATATTTTATTTAATATTAATAATAACCATCTAGTACACCAAAACATTACATTTAAAACAAACAATATATTTAAAGATTAAGATAGCAACCTGAGAAAATAAAGAAGGATTGTCTAAAGAGATTAGGGAGGTCTAAAAAGATTACAGAGGTTCTCAGATCAGTTTTTAACAGTTAGTCAAAGGTGATGTTTTATACAATAATAAAAAAAGATTTAAAATGATGGATCTGGTGTCTCAGAACAAAAGAATTGCAGTGGAATGAGGAGTGAGTGAGAGACGGAGATTATTAATATGACTGATGTCAGGAAGGGGAAAGCAGAGAGTTTTAAATGAGAGGAGAAGACAAACAGATTTGGAAAGTGTGTTTATAGTACCATCAATAATAAACTCTGTCTTGTCACTGTTAAGGTGTAAAAATAAATTATAAAAACAATGATTGAGCTCAGAGAAACAATCAGGTTGGAGGGTGAGAGTATAGATTGGTTTGGTAGTGGTGTAAAAATGAGTGTCATCACCCAAACCCATAGAATCACTTTTAAAGAAAGCAATAAAAATATAGGATAAAAAATAATTAAGTTTCTACCACTGTATTTTTTAGATGAATGTAAATTTGTTAATAGCTCCTGAATTTCTGTCACTTATTAAGGAAGCCTGCTAACATTAGGCTACCGTGCTATCGCCACTCCCGTCTCTTCCACCTAAATTCCAACAATCTAGGTCTCTTGTTAAACTTTTTATCTATTAAATAGGAGACCAGGAAACAATGAGTGAACCATGGGAAACTGCTCATGTGGCTAACGCTTAATCCACAAAAATATGCACGAGTCAAATTCTTGTGCATTCTCGGTAAAACGTGAATCTAAAGAAAATTTCGGAAGGATCTGTATATGAAAAACATCAGGTTTTGACTCCTTTAAACTGACTTTAAAGTCTTTAGTGTAAGACTGTCTGGGATTTAACAGAGAAGAATATAGAAAAAAAAGAACTTATTTTTAAGAATTTAGTGGAACAAATTTAAACTGGGAAGCCAGGACCTTTGATTTTTCAGGAGCTCATGATGGGTGGATATGAGGACACTCTACTTACAGAGTTCAGTTACATACTTTGTTGTACAGACAAAAAGGCCCAAAAGTTAGACCTATCCAGATGCTTGGAGACATGTGGGAGGACCATCACAGAGCGAGGACATGGGTTATTAAAGACTATTCAGGTTTCTAGATGTTTGTTTGAAGAACTGGTATAATTAAACATAAGAATCCAGCATGGTTTCAGAAATCAGTCCCTATAGCAGGCTTTGTGATGGTAGGAGGTTGTATCATGGTATGGGGAAGAATTATTTCATCTTTTCTGATAGTATGGTTAATGCAGAAAAGTCCAGCAGACATATTAAAGCAGGATCTGCTGTGTTTAAAACCACGTCTTTTCGTGGGACGCCCATGTATTTTCAGCAAGACAATAGAAAATGATCTTTCTACAGCCTTTTTTACTAGAGTATCGAAAAAAGACCTATATTAAAACTCAGAGACAGAAATGTCCTTGTGTGGTGAATACAAAGAATCCTAAAACCTCAGACTATTTTGTTTTTGTTACATTTGCGAAGGCTTAAATTGGATGGATGGATACCATACCTGAAAAAAAAATCTACTTTCTCCCATGAAAAGTTTCAGTTTCAGATAAAGTACAGTTTCTACTCTAGTTGATTTGTGGGACGCTCCTATTTATGTTCAAAATCAAGTATATTTAAATTCAAATTTGGGCTTCTGTGTGGAGTTCATACCTGTGTGCTTTGTCATGTGATACTTCAGCTGGGTCGCCCACTTGCATTTGTATCCACACTCTGGACAAAGGTACATCTTCTCGTCTTGATGAACTCTCATATGCAGCTTTGGTAGAAATGAGTGAAATTAGTGTTTTTATTTTAGATACAACAAAGCAGATATATTCAACTTAAACCCAAGGTTAACTTCATATTAACTGAATCTAAAGTTCAGCCAGATTTTAGAAAAGAATAAACTTCAGGTCTTAGATAACACCCACAGGAATATCCAGTAGTAACAAGCTGTGGCATTGTGTATGACGATTTTATTTCCTAATGCTGTTGTGTTAAACCCAAACTGAGGTCTTAAAGGTATAGTGAGGGATGTTGTTTTTCCAGGTGAATCATCAAAATAAGTGGTCCTCCCAATTGTCAATCATTCAGGTGATATGTTTCCGTAAGGCCGTCCTTAGTGCTCGCCCCCATTTTCCCTTACTGGTGGTGAGTCTGACATAGTGGAGAAATTCGGAAATCTTCTTTTGGAAAGTAAGCTTGTATGAGTAATCCAAACAGCAACTTTTAAACAGATCGTGCAGGAGGAGAAATGGGCTCATGCATGCTTTTGCACGCGTTTAACAGGCGTTACCTCTAGGGTGCGGGTACAGGGTTGTGCATGTGCAAGTGGTCTTTTCCAAAATTTGCCTCCACTATACCTTTAACATCTACACTACACTGTATTTATATCACTGCAGAGTGCAGTAAATAGACCTCAGAACAGGTCTAGGTAATAAGGTAAATCTTTAAAACCACAGCCGGAACATCCAAACAAAACAAATAATAACATTTTTGCCCTGAACAAAACACAAATTTTTTTCATCTTAAAACTCAAGTGAAAGGAAGTTCTCCTAAAAAATGCAATTAAATAATTCAATTTGAGGCAATTATCAGGTTATGCATTTACCTTTTACTGACTCATGTTGGTCAAGCGAAATTGCTGAAATTAAACTGGAATACCCTCAAAAGTTTGAATTCTGAATCAGAAAGGCTATTCAGGATGGATGCTTTTCGCATTAACAGTATATAAAAAATTCTACTTTAAACGGTAGCTTTAGGATATACAAGAAGATATTAAAGTGACAAAAATAAGGTAATAATTTTACGAAAATAAGATCATAATGTTTTTACAGGACTAGAGTCGTACCATGAAGACATCAAAGTCATGATATGAGGAGAAAAAAATCATAATGTTACAACAAAGCGCAGTCTTCCCCTGCGACTGTGATGCTCGGCTCAGACTGATCCTGCAGATTGGTTGAGCTGATCACATCAGATCTTAATAACCCCAACAATGTTTTCTTCTCATAGTCCTCTCATATTATTACAGCTTCGTACTGATAATATTGCCACTTAATTCTCAAATATTTATTTTTTTCTTGAAATGTCTAGATTTTTTTGTCACAATTGAAAAAAAGAAGTCTTAGTATGTCTCTAATACTCAGTTGCAGTTCTTTATCACGCATCTAACATAAAGTCAGATAGTCACGTACTACTTTTTAGTGGTTATAAGATGTGTTATTTTAACATTGTTTATCTGTGCAAAACAACAAGTAGAACTTTTTTTTTCTTAATTGTTATGGTTGTAATAGTGGCCATAGTAGCCATATATGAACAACAGTAAATATGAGCCTCTGAAAGTGGGAAACCAGAAAACTCGGAGATTATGACGATCAAATTTCCTAGCTATAAGATAAACCAAATGCAACGTCACCAAAGCTTTAATGTTGCAACTTTCACCAAATCTGACCAATTGATTACCCGTTGATCTACATGTATAATCAAATAAATAATTTGCTCATATCTGACCTTACCTTCAGCCTAGATGGGTCAGAGCAGGTGTAGGCACACTGCTCACAGCTGTAGGGTTTCTCCCCAGTGTGAATGCGGATGTGCCAGGTGATCTTCTGCTTGTTTCTGGTTGCATACTCACAGTCTGTGCATTTGTACATGCGTTTGCTCCCGTGTGAACGGAGGTGCTGCTCCAACACCAGCTGATGCCGACAAGTAAACTTGCATGTGCTGCACCTGAGAGGCTTGTCCTCCGAGGAACCCTCCTCATGTTCGCTCAGAAGGTGTTGAGCCAACAGCTGCCTTGTTTTGGCTGCAAAGGAGCAAAGCTGACAATGGTGTGGCAGGTGGGTCCTCTGATGGATGTCAAGGCTTTCTTTAGTCTGAAACACCTCCTGGCAGGTAGTGCATTTCACTTCAGTGTGTCTGCTCTGCTGGTGGTGCTTCAGTGTCACTTCACTGCTACATGTAAAGTCACATTTCTTGCATGAAAAACAAACCTGAAGTTTGTGTACCCGTTTGCAGTGGTTTCGCAAAGCAATCTCGGAACTAAAACGAGCATTGCAGTGACTGCAAACATGCCGCAACTCCCCTGAGTGACATCTGCGGTTATGCCGTCTGACATCGTCAGGAGCGTAGCCGGTGAAGTCACACAGTTGGCAGAAGTGTGTCGGCTGCTTGTCGTGGATGCGTATCTTGTGCTGACGTAGTTTGGCCAATGCGCCAAAGGTCTTGTCGCATACGTCGCAGCTGTGTCGGCCAACCCCTGTGTGCAGAGACTTGTGCTCCTCTAAGCGGTAGCGCCTCAAGGTGCTGAAGGAACAATAGGTGCAACGATGCCGTCGAGCAACTTTGTGTTTGCGTGAGATATGCTGCTCCATGCAGCGTTGTTGCCTGCAGCTGAACTTGCAATCCTGGCAATGCAAACGTTTCGGAGCTGGACCCTGAGACTTTCCTTCCTTATGATCGGAAAGTATGAGACGGTTCAAAGAACGTTTGGATTTGGTCAATAAAGAGCAGATGGAACTCTGGACTTCACCTGGATTCATAGATTCTTTCTTCTCTTGATTGTCTGAAGCAATTCTCTGACTTCGTCTGAATCCAGAGTTTGGTTGCTCCCCTGAAGAACCCCTGTTACTATTATTCATATAGTCTTCTGCGCTTTTCAACTTTTCGCTCCCTTTATTTTCTATTTCTGAAGCGGCCTGATCAAAAGTCCCTTGGCAGGTCAATATGTGCCTTCTTATTGTTGGCAGCTTGGTTGCAGAAAAACTGCATAACTTACAGTTCAATTTACCATCTGTTCTATCATAAAGAGTTTCAGCCTGTGATAATTTTGGTCTTTTAGTTGATATTTCCTCCAGAATTTGTACATCTGTAGGCTTATCTGCCTGGGTTACACTTGCCTGATCTTCTGTAACGGAGTCTGCTTTGTTTTCGGAGGTGCACGCTGTTTGTCCTAGATGTTTCAGCACCGTCGACATCTCATTTGCAGTCGACAGAACTTCCATCTGATTCGAGTTTGTTTCCTTTTGAGCTTGTCTCGATTCTCCTCGAGCCGCACCAGAATTTCCCAATGAACTTTGAGGCACACTTGAGCTGCCAACAGATGCTCTTGTGTTGTGCGAAGCTACTGGGTGCTTCTTTTTCAGGTGGTAGTCCAGCCCGCGCCTCTGTTTGAACTGCTCCCCACAGGACCGGCACTCGTGTCTCTTTATACGGCTCTGGCACAGAGCTCTGCGGTGGTATTCCAAAGTCGACTCCCTGCTGGTTACATAGGAGCATTTGTCACAGCCATAAACATGTTGAGATGGCACTGCAAGCATCTGGACTCGTCCCTCTAAGACCATGGCTTCTGCTTGGTCCTTGTCGTGTTTCCTCAGAGTTTTTAGTCGGACCTCAGAGTGTGAGGGCTGGTTCTCCCCAGAAGGAGAAGCAGAACCAATTGTTGCATTACTAACTCCGTCAGGTGGGTGCATTCGATGGTCCACAGTCTCATCAGCTTGACTCAGACTGGTTAAAGGCTCACTTTCATCTTCTAAGTCGCTTTGCTCAAAAGGTCTATGTTGCATTTCCTCCAGCGAGTTTTTAAGGTCTAAGGTCTCTTGTGATGAGCCAGGGTTTGTGGATTTCAAAGGTGGTGTGTTTCTGAGGTTTTCATCCTGGCTTTGTAAAGCTGTGCTTTGGTCTTCACCAGTTGTCAGAGTGGTTAACACCAGGGTACAGTACTGCTCCGGACTACTGATGGATCTTTCTGAAACTGCTTCATGACCAACTTCTTGGGACGCAAAGTCAAAACCAGATTCATCAGCTTGTGAGGCAAAGGAGCTTTCTAGGCAGAGATCGTTCTCCGATTGGTTCTTCTGTGTACCAGAAGCAGGTTGTTCAGACTCCTCGTGACCCACTGAGGATTTACGGTAAAAGTCATCCACAAACGCTGCAGAATTCCTCTCCTTCTCCTTCGCTGCATAACTCTCTAGCCATGCCGTATCTCCTGGTACGTAGCCATGGGCTTTCTTCTTGTGCAGGAAAAGGCTGACACTGCTGTAGGATGAGTAGACACAGAGGGCACAGTAAAATTTCTTCAACTTGGTATGTTTGCAGTTCTCGTGGTTTTGAAGTGCCTGCCGGTAGCGTGTGGAATACGTGCAGTATTTGCACTTGTATGCAGACGACTTCTTCTCCTCTCCAGAATGTTTGACCGACATGTGGTTGCGGAGCTCATACTTGCGCTTGCAGGCATAAGCGCAGATTTCACACATGAGTGACTTAGCCTGATGCCGTAGTTTATGGCTCTTAAGCTGGTCCATTCGGTGACATCGGTAGGAGCACTGATCACATGAATATCTAGAAGAGACAAGTAGTTTATTCAGTGTAGGACAGAGAGATCCATGCAACATCCTCCACAAAAACCGGCACACATGGTAACAAGGAGTACAAATTCTTAAGGTCCTTTATAATATAATGAATTGGCGCTATATAAATAAACTGAATTGAATTGAATAATCCAGTTTTCATTATTAGTCAATTTTATCCAAAGCCTCATTTACCTTTTCTGACTATGTCTCCGAATCAGCAGAATCTTAACTCTGCTTTATGCTTCATGCATCCGTGAGGTCAGGTTGGCCAAATTATGGCATTTTAGCACCCTTGTACATGGCATCAATGGGGCCTGATTTCTCCACAACATGCACCTAGAAAAATTCTTACGATGCAGAAAGCTCTGTGCAGAAAAGCAAGGTGACTGAGCAAAAGCTCCTGCTAGTGAGGGATTGCACATATAAACTAGGTGTCTAGAGACATCTTAAGATTTTGCCTATAAATGATCAGCAGACTGTGGAAAAACTCTTGGAGAGAAAAATTTGTCACTCTTGGATGACACAATGAGGCTTGGCAGCTGGCCCAGCATGCACCGTGACAGGAGCAGCTTCCAGTGGAGCAATCACAGAGCTATTAAGCTAAAAGATCACTTTTCTGTCGCCGTTGTTCTATCAAAGTATACTTTGGGATCACTTGATGCTAGAATTTTACGCACACATTATACTTTTAGGCGTCACTATATGGCCCATTTACTTATTTAGTGCGTAATAAAAAAAAAAAAAGTTCAGATGTTGAGAGGACAGTGGCAACCAGCGGACGTCCAAGGCTAAACGCAGACAGGGCTAACCTTAGCCAGTCTGCAGCAGCCCTCTCTCAGCATAGCTTCTGTGTGAAGGACCGCTGCCTCTGATGGAGAGGTATTTTTTTTTTTGGTAAAATGTTCCTTTTATTTGTGTGTACCCAACTATGTTAAATATTATTCCCCCACTAAATGAAAAAAGTAAGGATTTATTACTATCTAGAGACTATTAATAACAGTACTCTTCTGTTCCAATTGACCCATATTTATGCTGCATGCTCACATTCTCCCCAAGTCCATAATTTCCAGTGTACTTCTCAAGAATATACTTGGCGAGAACACGTCAATAGTCATGCTCTTGTGAATTGAGAAACGGGCTCTGTTTCAGAAATCATGAACGTCAGAACTGCGTTGCTGTCTACCTGAGGTCTCCAGCATGTTTCCTCATATGAACGGTGAGATAATGCTTCCACTTGGTGACGTATCCACATTCAGCACACATGAAGTTCTTTTCATCTGCGTGGACGAGCATGTGTTTGGACAGGTAGGACTCGTCCCTGCATCTGAACTCACACTGGCTGCACTTGTGAGGCTTCTCACCTGGAAACAGAAAATAAACATCAGGAGGCGTCAGGCGCAGCAGGACAGAATGTACCCGAGTTCCTCCTCACTGCTGTGCATAAGGATGTGTCGCTTCAGGCCGCGTTTGTGCGAGGTGACGTAGCTGCACTGAGAGCAGCGGTGGATCTTCTCGCTGGCGTGCAAATGTCCCACGTGCTGCTTGAACTCCACGGGGTTAAAGGTGACGAAGGGGCAAAAGTCACAGCAGAGCTTTTCTTGGCCGGTGTGACCCAGCCGTCGGTGCTGGAGGAAGACCGTCTTATTGGAGCAGGAGAAGTCGCACTCTGAGCAGTGATAGGCCAGGTGGGTCCGGTAATGATCCTCCATGTCTGCTTCGCATTTGAAGACGGCGCTGCAGGCGTGATGACGACACTCTGCGGCTTTGACCCCGTGCTCCTCAGCGGCGTGTTTAACCAGGTCTTTGCACTGGGAGCTCTGGAAAGAGCAGCCTTCCTGGAAACACGCCATCATTGCACCGTCTGACAAGTGTGTCTTCATGTGAGCCTTCAGGGCCCTGCTGTGGGGAAAGCTTTGGCTGCAGGAGGGACACGGGAAACTCGGATTGCTTGCAGTCTCCCCCGCCTCGTCAGGATGCACGCTTGCCACATGGCGGCGGATGGCGTTTCTCTCCACAGCAGAATAATCGCATAGATGGCAGCGGTGGATCTTCTCCCCGGCCTCTCGGAGGCGGTGTATGCGTAGCTTACTCTTGCTGGTGAAATAACGATCACAGGTCGGACACTGGAGGCTGGGATCAGGGAAATGTAACCGTAGGTGCTCCTGGAGGTGGGAGCGCATCTTGAAGCAGCGCCGACATTTGGGACAGGCGTGGGTGCGATACATCTCCTCAGACCCCTCAGAAAGGTATGCTGATGGACAAGAGCACAGTATCAGCTCAATTCAAATCATTCGTAAATCTCATTTTTAGGCACTTTACAAGTCAAAGAGCACCGTCTGTGCACTTTGACTTGTAAAGTTCATATATATATATATATATATACATATATATATTTATCTGCAATAAATATATATGTATATATCTGAATATATTTAATATATAATCAGACACAAAATAAAGAACATTTGCTCAGATTCTGATGATTTATTTTCAGCCTATAAATTGTTTTCTATCTAGGCTAACCTCTTTGAGTTGCTGCAGCAATCCCTCCACCTCTGCAAGCAAGTGGAGAGAAAACGTGGAAACGGTTTCCTTGAAATTTTATTTTTATTTTAGCTTTTACTGCATTTTATCTGTTTTTACTTGTGTTGTTTAAATGTTATCATGTGAAGCACTTTGTGACTTTGTCTGTGAAAAGTGCTATACAAATAAAGTTTACTTACTTACTTTCCTTGAAATGAGAAATGGAACCAGGCTCAGTACAAGGCAGTAAATCTGTGGGAAGCTCTGTGTTAGAACTTGTTTGTTAAACTGACTTACGATTTGTAGGTTGGTGCTTGAGTTGCCTTTTTACTAGTGTTGCGACAATGCAATTTTTTAGCCCCAATACGATACCCGATACTTGGCTGTGCTGTATTGGCCAATACCGATACCATCTGTTTGAAATTGATGTGTGTGTGTATATATGAAGAACTGCATGCTATTTGGATGTAAAATAATTGCCATCATGGCTTTGTCAAGCTGCTGCCTACCTTTGAGAAGCAGGAAAAAGACTAATACAAAGTGAATCCAGTAGAACTTTTTATTGCCTACCTGGAATGGGTGAAAATAGTTGAATAAACTTTTGGCTCTCAAAATGTTATCAGTGCCCTATTTGTTAGTACTCACTCGATACTGATACCACCGTTTTAGTGCTGGATCGGGGCCCCGGTCGATGCTGGTATCGGTATCGGTGCAACACTACTTTTTACCAAATACTTTTTTTCTCCCGAATACGTTTTTTCAAGGCTACTTTTTACTTTTAGTTGAGTATAAATATAATAAAGTAATGCTACTCTTACTTAAGTGCAAGTTTGGTATATCTGCCCACATCTGGTGAAGACAGGTGTGAGACAGCGACAGCGGAGGTGTTTTAGACATTTTTGATTCCTGCTGCTTCCAACTGTGAAAAATGTATCGATTTTCTTCTCAATAATTGAGGGAAACCATCTTGATTATGTTTGTGAAATACATGTTTGAATTTCCCCATAATCCACAGACTCACCAATTTCCTGAGACACCCTGAAGGAAGGAAGGAACAAATGACATAATAACTGTGTTTACCAGTAGATGGTGCCGGACATGCAGCAGTGGAGCTGTCCTTCTCCACGGCTGCTCCTGGTTGTTTCCCTGCTGGTGATTCAGTCAGACTCCCTAATAAAAGATGCAAAATAACAGAAATAAGAGAGATATGAAACATGGCTTAAATGATTCCCACGCCTCCTCCAGATGTTGTCTTTACCTGGATGGGTGTTTTCCACATGTTTGTGATTCAACATGTGAGTCCTGAGCTGTTTCACATCCTGAGAAACAAACTGGCAGTAGAAACAGCCGAACGGCATGTGGCTCCTGCGGTGGCTTTCCATCTCTCCCTGCGTGAGGAAGGACATTTTACAGGAGCGGCTGGTGCAGCAGATCAAATTCAGGCCGTGAACGGAGGTCAGGTGGTTCTGGTTCTCCAGACGGTCTTTACTGCTGAACTGGCAGCCTTCCTCGCTGCAGGGGAACGGGCCCTCTGTGTTCTGCTCCCTGTGGTTGGCTTTAAAGTGTTTTTTCAGAGCAGCCGGTTTGGAAAAACTCTGACTGCATCCAGAGCATCTATAGATGTCCGGCTGGGTTCCGTGGGACGGAGCTGGATGCAGGTTTGGACAACAGTGGGAGATGAAGGTGGACGTATCTGAAAAGTTCTGCCCACATTTATCACAAACATGTTCTTCTGTCTCCATCATGCCTGAAAAACACACAAAACACTGAACCTGATTTATTTACATTTAGCCTCACAGCAAAAATTTAAATCTATATGTTTTTTTCTTAAAATAAGGGATTTTTTTTTTCTTGAATTGAGGAAGTAAGTGAAACACTTTGCCAATGGAACAAGACAATTTACATTGAAAATAAGAAAAACAATTGCATTGTCTTATTTCAAGTGCATACTATCTACTTATCTTATTTTAAGAGCAAATATAATCATTCCATTGGGAAATCAGCTTATCTACTTACTCAAATTAAGGGTAAATACACTTAATTTAAGAATTTTATAATTATTTCTAGATCATTTTTGCTGTGCAATACGGGTGGGCATTGATCGTATCGTTTATCAGGATACATTTCTAGTCATTGTGACAATTTAGATTTATCGTCTAACAGATTCAATAGAATTAGCAATAATAATAAAAAAAATTCAAAATGGGTGAATTGTAAATTTTACTTTTAATATTTTTTACTTTCATGTTGTTTCTTTCATTGAGGTATTGGCAAATTTGTGAAGTATGATCAAATGCAATTCCTATGGGATGTTTAGTAATATAAATTAATATAATTTAAGTAATATAAATTACACTTCTTTATCCTGAAAAACGCCTGGTTTAAACTTGCAGTTTTCCATTAGTGTTTGTAATTGTCATGCTCTGCTTGCTGTGGCAATCATTCACAGCAGTACAGTTACCAAAGAACGAAATTAATAACTAAATGATTTTATCTGAGTGTTATCATCAGTTTTATCATTATCACAATAGTACCACAAAGTATCATGATAAGATTTTAAGCACATATCGCCAAGCCCTAGCCTTAAAATAAACAAAATAATCTAATAATGTATAGGCTTGGAATTTTTTTCATGCTCTTTTAAAAATGGTAAATGAGCTGATTTTATATTTCTTTTCAGGACAGTTGCTGATGTTTGGTTTGCTAAAATGAAATAAACAGAATTTAGATTTTATATTCAATACAAAATAATAAAGAATAGAATAGAAAAGATGACCTGCAGAACCATGGTGGAAAAATCTACATTCCTAAAAAACAAACCTGTAGAATTTCATCAATAATCCCAAAAGCAATTAAAATGTGAAGAATTTTGAGAAGGTTTAACAGATCCATCATAACATTGCATCTTAAAATCCATGCATCCAGCATGGTGGAGGCTGCATCATGGTTTGAGCCAACATCTTAAAGCCATTGGGGTCGGATTTCATGTTGAACTGGTGAAACTATAGATACAAAAAGAAGTCCTAGAGTCTCCTCTTAATAGAAAGTATCCAACTCCACAGGGAGAAAAACTAAAGAAATTACCCCCCCCTGGCTTCCGTAGAGGAGCAGCAGCTATACTCCAAGCTTCCTCTGGATGATGAAGCTCTGACCAGCATTTCAGCAGCTTGTCTCCAGGATCTGATTAATTATATGTTTGTAGAGGGAGCTGTTAAATAATGTGAAGGTCTAAATTATGTTAACACAGTTTTTGTAATACCAGGAAACACAGAGATGAATAGTTAGATATGTGAAACAGCTCCTTTTAAGCAGATGTCAGACCTCCCGCCTGAGCGTCCAGCCTGACCGAGTGTCTGAAAAACAAAAGATCAACAATCTGATCTCGGTTCTCACCGGTTCCTCAGATGATTTCTGTTGTTCTGAAGAACCGATAACAGCAGAATGACAGACTGGAAGCTTTTATTTATCCAAAAATTCTGAAAAAAGAGCTCCTTAAGGGCGGCTGAATGCGAAGCTGTTATCACTAGCTTAGCTTAGTGCTAACAAGAATGCGCCGAAGTTAGCTTCCGATTTGTAGTGGAACCAACTCCTGCTCTAAAGACTCCAGACAATGGCTCGCAAAAATATTCTTGTTTAAAAAAAAAAAAATATTAACTGATTATTGTTTTTGCAAACAGCACAACTTATTTTTTGTTAGTAAATTTAGAAAATTTCTTTCAGACCATGCTTTCAGTGTTTGATTCAAAAAGTTTTTTGTTGTTTGTTTTTAAAGCCTAACAATGAGATTGTGATTGTTAAATTTTAGCATACAATCAAGTTAATTTTACATCCACGTTATTTATTTATTTGAATAATTTACTGTTTTGCCCAATAAATATTAGCTTCTTTATTTACCAGGGCTATAGCTGTTTAATGGCTGGAGTTGTTTATTAAAGCTCAACTCTTCATGCTCATGTGCCTCTGAGCAAGGCACCAAACCCCAAATTGCCTACAGATCTGTGTGTGAATGTTTCTTTATTAGCATGTCACTGTGTGGATGTGTAAAAGAGCTTTGAGCGCTCCAATAGAAACACTCTGCAGTTCACATTTGCTGTATTCATAAAAAGTAAATCAATAAATGTATTGTGTTTTAAGTATGATGTAGGTTTTGTGGCTTGAGATAAATTCTACGATATGTGGGGTGATTTAAAATAAAGATTTTTAGATTGAACTGGTTGCTGATCGGGCTGCACAGTGGAGCAAAGGGTAGCACTGCCGCCTTGCAGCAAGACGGTTCTATTTTCAATTCCTGGCCCGGGGTCTTTCTGCATTGAGTTTGCATGTTCTCTCTGAGCATGCATGGATTTTCTCTGGGTACTCCGGCTTCCTCACTCATATGACTGTCAGGTTAATTGTCTTCTCTAAATTGTGTGAATGGTTGTTTGCCCTGTTTGTCTCTGTGTTGCCCTGCGATGGACTGGCAACCTGCCCAGGTTGTACCCCGCCTCTCGCCCATTGACAGCTGGAGATAGGCACCAGCACCCCTCGCGACCCCACTTGAGATTAAGCATGTTAGAAAATGGATGGATGGGTTTAAAGGAAACTCATACCAGTTTATTATTTTCAAATACAATTGTTTATTCCCTGAAATAAGAATCATCTTTCCATTAGCCTAAATTCAGATTCAGCTGCACCCAGGTCTGCTTTTCAGTAAAAAATGCTGAGAATTTGTGGTTCCATACTGTCAAATCAAATGAAATATAAACTGTATGCTGATGAAGGTTCTCAGTCATCCAGGTCATAGTCATTCCGTAAAAATTCCAAAAATATCCACTGGACTTGGTTTCCAAGATTTGAAGACGTTTCGCCACCTCTCCAGGAAGGTTTCTCAATTCAAATGTCTGGATCCGCAGTGAGTTAAGACTCAAACTCACTGCGGATGTGAGAAAGCTTCCTGGAGAGGTACGAAACGTCTTCAAATCTTGGAAACCAAGTACAGTGGATATTTTTGGAATTTTTACGGAAATATAAACTACTGTAAAGACAAAAGAGTTATGTTGAACTAATCATTTTCCATCCAATACAATAAAATAAAAACCAGAAGTAGCTTCATAGATTTTTCATTTGGAAAAATCAGTTTTCCCAGCAGGAAAATAAAACAGTTGAAGTGTTTCATTTTCTGTTGTGTGAAAGGTGCAGATCAGGTTTGTCCTCTCAGCAGGTATAGTCCCTAAAGATGGACCAAAGCAAAGGTTGCACACATTGAGGTATAACAATAACAGCCCCCCCCCCCCCCCCAAAAAAAAAAAAACAACAACAAAAAAACACAAACAAACAAACAGAAAAAACAAAAAAACAACAACAATGAAATGTTTTTGGATGTTTCGAATTTTTACTATAACAGCACATGTTGCAAAGTTTAAACAGTGTGCCTACTGAATTTCCTGGAACCATTTCAGTTCAGGTTCAACTGCAGTTTTCAAACAGGGTCTCTGCTAAAGTCATCTGTGTGAAACTGATCTTTGAAATATTCACAAATAGAATAAAATCTTAAATAAGTCGATTAACGATTCTTAATAATCTACATATTACAACAGAACTGATCGATGCAGAAGAGGATTAGCGCCACTGAAGAAATAAAAATAGTAAACTGATTTTTAAATATTATTTCAGCTTAAGTAAGAATTCTGACTTTACTCTCAGAATTCTGACTTTTTTTTTTCAGAATTCTGACATTAATCTCAGAATTCTAGATCGTTCATTAAGATTTCTTATTATATTTCGCTGAAGCTCCGAATCAGAAGCCAACATTAGTCCCGGAACCATTGGCGATAGATATTGGTGGATAGTCGAACTGTTTTTATGAAACACGGGAAATGTGGTAAAGGTCGCTGCTTCGCATGGAACCGCTAGGTTGCAGAGGTTTTTCCATCCATTGAGTTCTGTGAGGAACTGCAGGACTCGGCACCATGCCGCTGTCGGACTTCTTGGACGGCCTGAAGGACAACCCGTACTTTGGAGCCGGGTTCGGATTAGTGGGGGTCGGAACGGCGCTGGCTGTAGCCAGGAAGGGAGCCCAGGTGGGGATGATCTTTTTCCGTAGGAACTACATGATCACCCTGGAGGTTCCCAGTAGAGACAAGAGCTACCACTGGCTGCTGAGCTGGATCACCAAGCACGCCACGCACACGCAGCACCTCAGCGTGGAGACCTCCTACCTGGCACATGAGAGTGGACGGGTCCACACGCAGTTTGACTTCCACCCGAGTCCTGGAAACCACATCATCTGGTCAGGGAGACCTTCGACTCGGTTTATTTTAATGTTGTTGCGCTTCTAAACTGTGTCTTACGGTCCCATCATTACTAAATGCTGCCTTTAGGTAAACATCGTTGATCAAATATCCTACATTTCTTTAACTAGGACTAGAACAATCCAGTGCATTGTTGTTTGCAAAAAAAGTTTTTCTCTTATAGAGATTAATTAAGACATGTATTTTTAATAGCTGTTGAATACGTATTTTTATAGACTTGTTTCTTAAATGTTTCAAACTAGATGTCAGTGAATGTAACAGAGCTACACCAATCAACATATGAAACCGTAAAGAGCAGGATAGAAGCGCATCGATTTTATAACAGGTGCTGCTGGGGTAACCGTTATGTTTTCTATAGGCTGCTCATATTCACACAGTTTTACACAGATTTCTATTTTTATTTACTTTAGATATAGACTTAAACTTTATTTTTATTTTGTGCACACAGGTTGTATACAAAATGAAATTTCTTTCAGTACAGCTCTCAAGACACTCCCATTTCTTAAAATGGTTTGGACTGAACTTTGATGTTTCTTTCATTGGATCTTGAAAATGCTTGTCAGACATAAATATCCTGAAAAAAATATCCCACTTTATAAATGAGTATTAAATCTAAGATATACAGTTACTAAGAACTGTATTCTTCAATAGCTTTGAATCAGTCTAGATGGTCCCAGTATGCATTGTCCATAATCAACTGATAGTTTCCACAACTTGGGGAAAGAAAACACACAAGTCACTGTGACACCAGATTTAGATACTCAATTATTAATTCTATAGTCATGCAAATGTGAGCATCACATCAATCTAATGCTTTTAATGTTATTTTTCTTCTGAGGGTGTTTTATGTGTTTTTTTATTTTATTTTTTATGATGTTCTCTATAGATGCTTATTTTAATTGATTTTAGATTTTTAACTGTGTTCTTTTATTGAATTGTGAGCTGGATGTTTTCAACATAATTAGACTATCAGTTTAAAATGACAATAAAGAATAATCTAATTTCCAGTTCTAACAGATTTTTCTCAATTTCACGTTGCTCCAAAACAATAATATTGCTTCCAGTGTGATAAAACCTGTTGGTAACATTCAACATTTTTTTGTTTCTTAGTAATTTCACCAAAACATTAAACTTTTACTAAAAGCAGATTTTATTAAACCTTTATTAAATACAGATATTGATTTTAAAATAATATGGGACATAAATATTTCATTATTTTTAGTTAAAATAAAAATGCATACAAGCAAAATGGAAAATGTGGGAACAGTAATAGTCTTTTCCAGGTAAATTCAATATAGTTTTACATTTTTCCATAATATGAATCTGGTTCAACCCGTAACAGGTTCTGTTACCATGGTAACTTATTCTAGAGTAAGTCAGGTTTGTAGATTAGAGATCAACATCGTGAAAGTAGCATCTCCACCACTCTGTGTCCAGACTAGAGGTGGGAGATGTGGAATCACCAAGTCTTCTGTTTGTCATATATTTGTTCTGCTCAGCCTCTGAATCAGGTGGATCCAATCTGCACAGTGAATTAAATCTGCAGGTCAGACTTTCCTGGTTCAGTGGCTGGGCAGAGCTAATATATGGCGTATAGATGATGGCTCCACAACTTTCTACAATTTTTTTTTTATGATTTAACTCTATATAAGTCCACTCCTCTATTTTTAATATAGATAAAAAGTTACTTTGCAGTTGGAAATTTAAACTGTCTGATCCAACCAGAGCAGAAGGCATCATAGTGTTGGATAGAAAATGAGCCGCAAAGTTCACAATATCTTCCCCTGATGGACTGAATCATTTTTATCTTCCTACATGGGATACCCAACAGGAAAATTCAGCAATGTTTGATACATTACCTTTGTATGATACCAGAAATTAGACAGTTTCATACTTTTATTATGTGGCTTCAACAGGTTAAGGTTAAATAGTGGCTCTGTTGTTGCTTTAATATTGTAGGATATATAAACAGGTAAGGTGCTCCAGGATAGGATCGTATAGGACTCAGGTTTACCATAAACATTAAGAGAAGAACAAAGAGAGCACATAAAGCTGATGGCAACAATAGAAAATGCATAGATGGAGAGAAGTAGAAGAATGCAACAATGTAAGAAAAAGTAGTCATTATGTCCTCCAGCATCTATAGGCTATGGCGGCATAATTAGAGATTTCAACCAATCCATCTGTATGATCTGATGGAATTAAATCTGTAGAATGACTTAAAATGACATGTTGTGAGACAGTTTGGTTTTAATTTGATTTTGCTCAGGAGACTCTAAGCCAATCTAAGTAAATGTTTTATCAAATAGGCGAAGTTGGTGATAAAACCAGTTGGTGTGTCCATCTCAGAGGTTAAAACATGGAGCTGTTTCTTCTGCAAGTCCTTTCTCTAATAAACCACCTTCAGAAAGTCTAAAGAAGTACTAAAAGCAGAGCAGAGTAAACAAGAGGCTGCTGTAAAGCCAAAGATCACTTTGAGGGCAATAAGATGTTCTCTTTAATCTCTGTTCTCCTGGTGGCTGCAGGTATAAGAGGAAGTGGATCCGAGTGGAGCGGACCAGGGAGAAGCAGATGGTGGATCTTCACACTGGGACTCCATGGGAGTCTGTCACGTTCACAGCTCTGGGGAGAGACAGACAAATCTTCTTTAACATCCTTCAAGAAGGTACGGCTGATGGCATGGTGGTTAATTTCAGCTTTCCTTACATAACGATCAGGATCATGGAGGCAGAATCTGGCCTTAAACTGAGATCATCTCAAAGATCTAACTTTTGGAGATGGATTATAGTTTGTTTTTTTTTCTTTTACTTTAGAGCTACTACTGTCTAAAAACTAAAGTAGCAAAATTTAGGATTGAGTTAGAGCTCTTTAAGCTTAAAGGAATAGTACACCCAAAACATGATTAGTCTTCATTTTCTACTCACCCCCATGCTGAACAACACTCTGGAGTACTTTTTTGATATCTCAAATGCATCTGGAGATCTGGGAGGCTTCTTGCTGTCTGCTGACATTCAAATAATGGAGGTCTATGGTGCCCGAGACAGAAAGGTCCATAAAAGTCCACAAAAAACGTGTCAATATTCCTCCATACTGCTCGTCCAATGTATTCCAAGTGTCCTGAGTGGGTAGCATCCATAATTTACTTGAAACGAAGTCATTTAGAATGTTTTTAGAGCATAAACAGTAGTGTATAGGATTTCCTGAAAGCACGCACATGCGCGATCACGACGCTACGGAAGCCGGCAGACCAAACCAGCGCATTCAGCTCGGCAAAGAACTCATGCTCTTCCTCAACACTGAAGTCCTCAGACATTTTTCTTTCGTTGTTTCTTTCTTTGCACAGGTAAACAGCACATTTCTTCTTCTACGCTTGCATTATTGGCAGAGCAGACGCTGAATGCGCACTTTGATCTGGTTTGGTCTGCCGGCTTCCGTAGCGTCATGAACGCGCCGGCGCGTGCTTTCAGGAAATCCTATACACTACTGTTTATGCTCTAAAAAAATTCTAAATGACTTCGTTTCGAGTAAATTCTGGATGCTACCCACTCAGGACACTTGGAATACATTGGACGAGCAGTATGGAGGAATATTGACACGTTTTTTGTGGTCTTTTATGGACCTTTCTGCCTCGGGCGCCATAGACCTCCATTATTTGAATGTCAGCAGACAGCAAGAAGCCTCCCAGATCTCCAGATGCATTTGAGATAACAAAAAAGTACTCCAGAGTGTTGTTCAGCATGGGGGTGAGTAGAAAATGAAGGCTAATCATGTTTTGGGTGTACTATTCCTTTAATGCTCAGAGAGATGTTTGAAGAAAACCACATTCAGATCTGCAAAAACTAAACACCTCTTAACTGTAAAGCACGTTGGTGGAGGTTTGCTGGTCTGGGTTTTTTTTCTGAAGATACTTAGCAGTTTCCCTCATTCAAGTAGCTGATAAAGATGAAAGAATAGTTTTACTATTTTATCACTCTGGGTTGAATCTTGGTGAACCATGACGTGTTCTTCTCCCTCGTTATTGTTTTTTGCAGCACGGGAACTGGCCCTGAAACAGGAGGAAGGACGTACCGTGATGTACACGGCCATGGGCGGCGACTGGCGGCCCTTTGGGTTTCCAAGGCGACGGAGACCCCTCAGCTCTGTGGTCCTGGAGGCTGGTGTGGCAGAGAGGATCGTGGACGATGTGAAGGACTTCATTGGAAATCCAAAGTGGTACACAGACAGAGGTGGAGTTTTTTTTTTTTGGAGGGGAATAATTCAAACTTTATTTTCTTTGTCAGGGATTTTTGTCTTTTCTCAGTAGGTTGGTCGTTAAAGTTTCTCTCTCTGTTTGCAGGAATCCCCTACAGAAGAGGATATCTGCTGTACGGTCCACCAGGATGTGGGAAGAGCAGCTTCATGTGAGCGCTCCATCATCAGTCCGTCTCCTGGTTCCTGTTCTGTGGGGCTGTAGCTCCAGAGCCGCCCTGAACGTTTGTGCTCTCCTTTCTTGTTTTAGCACGGCGCTGGCAGGTGAGCTTGGCTACAGCATCTGTTTGATGAGCCTGAGCGACAGAACGCTCTCGGACGACCGTCTGAACCACCTCCTGAGCGTGGCTCCGCAGCAGAGCATCATCCTGCTGGAGGATGTGGACGCCGCCTTCGTCAGCAGGGACCTGCTCCCCACTGAGAGTGAGTGGGAGTCCTGACCTTGTTCTGTTTCTGTTAGTGTCCAAGACAAACTATTGCTGTGGGTCGTTTTTTTTTTTTTTAGGGTAGGTTTTCAGATTAATAAATAGTTTTTTCTCTGCCTTTTCAGACCCGATGGCCTATCAGGGAATGGGAAGGTTGACCTTCAGCGGCCTGCTGAACTCCCTGGATGGAGTTGCTTCATCTGAGGCCAGAATTGTTTTTATGACTACCAACTTCATAGACAGGTATTGTTACCAAACTTTTTAAATAATAAAAAAGCTACCCTTAAAGTTTCCAGAAAGCTCCAGTTAGGTGACATGACTCTATTACACCTTGAAAAACCGATCCATGCCGAGACCGGGCCGAGCTCGGATCAGTTAACCAGGCCGAGCTCGGTTCTGAAGACCGTTTACGCATCACGCTATCTTGGTTCCTCGACTCCTCGCCCCCTAGTGACGTTCTGCGGTATTACGGCCAGCATTGAAGGAGGAAATCAAGCGGTTGTTGGCGGTAATGCACCAAAAGTTGTTTGCCAACCGCCGTAAAACACAAGAAGAAGAAGCCGAAGAAAGAGGGAATCAAGCAAATCAAAATGGCGGCGGCCGTCACATTCAGAAAGTTATGCTTGATCATTATTATCATCCCAGGTCGCTCCACGCTCTTTTGAAGCCATTATTTAAAATGTTGCATGGAGAAGATTTCGAATGTTGTTTAATAGTTGTTCTTCTTCTTCTGTTTTTGTTGGTTGGCAAGCAACTTCCAGAGGGGCATTACTGCCAACTACTGGAATGGAGTGTGAATCGCGATGTGCAGCCAGACAGAGATGACGCGTTCTGCTCATGCGCTCTTGTTATCAGAGAACCAAGCCAGGGAAAAACCGAGCCGAGCCCACCTCTGGAACTGGTCTGCAGTTAGCTCGGTTCGGTTGTGTCTAGCTCGGTTTAGTTCACTTTGCTTTAAATTTACTCAGTTACTGAACTCTGACCGGTCTCGGCACGGTTTTTCAAGGGTAGTGTAAATGGGGTATACAGGAGCTTCTTGGTCGTCCCTGCAGACTCTGGTTGATCTTTGTCTCAATGTTAAACTGTTCTCTTTTTTATATGGTTTCAGCATACAAAACTGTATAAAACAATCCTAGCTAATTATTATTTTGTCCTTTAGTCACAAGGTTTCGTTTTTGTCCTGAGCCAAAAACAAACAATTTAACATTTTCTGAAAATAGTGATAAATAGAATATCTGAGCTGTAATAACATCCTCTATTTTTCTTTGTATTATCACCTTCCAATATGTAAAAGATCTATTTCCTTCTAAGCGACTTTATATATAGCTTTGTATTTCAAAATCATTCATTTAATTTCCTTTGGCTCATTTTGACTGAATAGTAAAAAGCTGCATTACAGTTGGTGCTCACCTTGATGTAAATAATGATGCGTTCAGGAGCACTAAGAGCAAAAGATCTACCAGTAAAATAGATGATGCAAATTAACCATAGTTGCTTTAGAAATTTGGTATTGGGTATTACCATTTTATACATTCTTTAAATATGTTATATGTTTCTTAGCCATAATTTCCCGATGCTAGAAAAGTCTCTCTTAAGAAAAACAGTTATTCCCAGATTTCTAAACCTTTATTTGACCCTTTTAAAATGTTAAGTTCAATCCAGCTGAATAAATACAGCATTGAAGAAAAGTAAGTATCGTCAGCATTTGTCATCAACAAACCTATAGAACTTAATTCTCTACCCTTTTTCGCAGGTTGGACGCGGCGCTGATCCGACCGGGCCGAGTCGACCTTAAACAATACATTGGGCACTGCACCGCCTGGCAGCTCACCCAGATGTTCCGGCGGTTCTATCCAGACACGCCGGCCTCAGAAGGCGAACGCTTCGCAGAGCGAGCGTTAGCCGCTCACTCTGAGATCAGTGCCGCTCAGGTCCAAGGACACTTTCTGCTTCACAAAAATGATCCGGTTGGATCGATAGACAACGTGGCCCAAATAAAGGGATGATGGACCTGGACGGGACTCAGAGACTGATTACAGAATAAAGAGAATATTTAAAAGGAAACGTTGGGTTCATTTCTTCTATGTTTTTATCTAAACCTTTTATTTATGAGGACAAATTGTGCACACACGCCACACTGCAAAAAATGTAAATCTTAAGTGAATTTTTTTCTGAATTGAGGCGGTAAGTGAGACACTTTGCCAATGAAATGAGTAAAATTCACATTTAATATAAGAAAAAAAAAACTGCATTGTCTTATTTTATGGGCATATCATCTAATTCTCTTATTCTAAGAGTAAAAGTACTCATTCCATTGGCAAACCATCTTATAGACCTGCTCAAATTAAGAGTAAATTCACTAAATTTAAGACATTTTCACTTATTTCTAGATCTTTTTTTCCGTGCAAATCACACAGATGAAAACATCGGTTAAGAATATATTATTATATTTATTACTTTTTACACACGCAGCTGTTTCTTGACCTCTTGGAGGAAAATATGTTTAAAGTTTTATATTTCGTTAAGGTGATCTGTTTCTAGTAAAGTCTTGGGTTTTTTTAAATTACATGTTTGTTTTTTTTAAGAGGGAAATTAATCAAATTTTAAGATTGTTTTTTCCACGGCTATTTTTAAGGAATTTTTTTTCTTTACATGCAAATGTGAATCAAAACGAAAAGCAGTTAAAAGATTTGCAATGTAGTATTTATTTGGTGGCGTGCCTAAGCTGATGCTGAGTCTGCACTAATACAAATTATCCTTATATCACTGACACTTAAACTAATTTTTAATTTCCAGATTCTCTCTGGAGGACATTCTCTTTGTTTTAGACATGTTGCTCTATCTGCTGCCTTGGGGTTTCATTTTTTTTTTTAAACATTGCATTAGTTTCTTGTATGGGACACATTAGCGTTAAAACTGATTAGATTTAAAACCATAACATGAAAATGCATAATATGTGGGATTTGCACCTTGGACAGAATGGATGTGCAGGTAATCAGGAGTTAACCCTGGCCGGAAACATAGAGAATAGTTTTGTGCAATTTGATTGGTTGGGGAGCAGCATGTGGAAGGCCCCCATCAGGATGCCATTGATGGAAGAACAGCTGCTGCTATGCAGAAAACAGATTTCTCTTTCACTGAGAGGAAGCCAAGACTCCTCGTAAAAGTGTTCAAAAAGCCTTACATTGCACTGAGGATAAACCCACCATCCAAAGCAAATTTAGAGCAGCATTATTTAAAGGTCTAATAAATATCCACATTAATTTCCTGCTGTAGTTGCCTCCACTGAATGTTTCTAGGGAGGTGAGCTGGATATTTGAGGAGCATGGCTCCTCCCACTCAGTCTGCATGATTTTAACTGGAGCTCTTTTCCAGTTTTTTTTTAGTAATGGCTGCCCGGCTGTCGCAGAGATTACAGTCTGGGAGCTGTGGCAGATGGCTGCAGCTATGCCGCATTTTTAAAGGCAATGTCTGCTTCAGAGGACTGGGAAGGGCCTCCTCTCTCCAGCAGGACAAGCTGCGGACGGTGGAGGACCTCCCTCGTGTCAGCCCCTTGGAAATGCTTTTCAAGATCTTATTCCAGGGTTATTTCCACCGTATGCAGGAGTTACAGGTAGGTCTGGGTGTGTGTATTGATCTGACAGCAGCTTTATAAGACGATGATGCACACAGATATCAGACAGCAGTCAGATTTTTCTATTCATCTTTTCATAAATTGTTCTTTTTTGTGAAAACTGACAGACATGCAGACAAATAGAATTACTTATTATTACTAATCCTGGTGGGTCTGAATATTTTTATGGTTGCAGTTAACTTGCCCTGTAAATGCAAGATAAAATCAATGTTTAACAGGAAATGTGACCTTTGATCCCACAGATGAGGGTTTGTGGAGGGATACGTTTCAGGGAAATGTTGTGGAAATGTGTAATTTTTTAAAATTCCCTAAAAAAAGATTATCCTGTGTTCGCCTTACTGCTGCCTTTTCCTGCTTTTAATTGTCAAAGTTTTGATTCTGCATAAAGAAGTTCATAAAATGCTTTGTCTTTGGTTAAGATCTATGAGAGGAAGCTGTATGGACCCATTTACAAAAATGGACGTAATGCTGTTTCTGTGACCACTGCTCAGCTGCTGGAGGAACTGGTGAGGATGGATGACAAGTTTCCCTCCAGAGCAGACCTGTCTCTGTGGACAGAGTACCGCGATATGAGAGGACACGGCTATGGGCCGCTTACAGAGTAAAGCAAACTCTTTAATGCTCTCCCTTTAACAGTTTCATTGAAGTGGATGAATATTGGACTGGTCTTTTTAGCATAATTATCAGAGTAGATTTAAATGTGATGCTTTTGTATCAGTCCACACATTTCCAGATGCATCCAATTTTCAACCATCTACTTTCTAATTTTTGGCTAATTTGAATAATTTAGGCCTGCTCCTTCTTTATTCCAACATATTCACCCAATTCACCAGAACTCTACGCAATTAAATACTGTAGAACATAGCATGAAGCTTTCAATTCCCATCCAGGAAGCTTTATTAATTAAAAACATCAGAAAAAGCACTAAATTCAAGACTTTATAGATTGGACCAAAGCAGGCGAGTGTCAATTCCACCATTTTATATGTGTATTTACTGTATGTTGTATGTTTATTTCTCTCTTATACCAGAATTTGTTGAATTCTCTTTTGGATACTCTACACACATCTGCATCTAAATAATGACAATCATAGGGCTGTGTTTTTTAGCCCTTGTCCTAAAAGCAAACTACCTTGTTTTAGATATTTCTCTGCTTCATCATTCCTGATTCAGATGATGAAAAGACAGATACAGAAACCTAAGGTCCATGGATTCATTACCTAACTCTAATGTAATACCTGCGGTTTATCCCCAAGCATTGGTGGATAAGAAACCTAAACCTGAGGCCAATTGATTTAAACCGACTTCATTAACATCCTGCAGGGAACTACTTCTGGCAGATGGGACCTTCCAGCACTGAATATAAAAAGGGGGCTGAATTGCCAATATAAATAACTAGGTAGTGACAAAGAAGCATGAAACAAAAAGATTTAAACTAAACTAACTAAATAAGCCTTGGTCTGTGTGAAACCAAATAGTTTTCCACCTTTTTCAAAGCATCAAAACATTTTCCATCAAACCTTAAAATGTGCTTCTGCTCCCAGAACAGGGGAGCGCTGGTACAACCTGAGGGCGGTTCTTAACAAGCGCATGCTCCATCCGAGGGATTCTGCTCAGTACGCTGGGGTCATCAATGAGGTGGTTACAGACTTCATTAAAAGGATCAAACATCTGCGTGAAGCCAGCTCAACAGGGGATTTTGTTTCTGACGTTTCCAATAAGTTTTACCTATTTTCATTGGAAGGTAAGTTTAAGCAGCATTTCCAAGTAATTAAACTTTTTTTTTTTTTTTTTTTTTTTTGGATTATTTAGTTTTTGCCTCACAGGTATTGCATCTATATTGTTTGACACAAGACTTGGCTGTCTGAGAACGGAGATTCCTGCTGGTACTCAAGAATATATCGCGTCCATCTCGCAGATGTTTTCCAATAACTTGCCTGTTGCAATATTTCCAAAGTGGAGCCGCAAACTGCTTCCTTATTGGGGGCGCTACATCACCAGCTGGGACAACATCTTCGCTTTTGGTAAGTTTCTAAACTTTTATACCTAAGTGCTTTTGTACTATTCATTGTTGCATGATAAACTACAACTGAACTGGGCTGCAAACCATTCAGACATGACTGTACCCTTTAAATAGGTTCCCTAAGCTGTAGCTTAGTATCCAACTAAATCAAGCTTCTCACAACTATTTTTTTTAATATTGTGTCCCTATATATTCTTATTCCTGACAAACAAAAAATGAAATTTTATCAGCTTGAAGTAAAACTACCTAAAAATAAAATGCTTCTTGTCAAGGGCGTAGGTTTGATTTCGACTTTGGTAGGGACATTATTGGTCTTATCTCATTTTTATGCTTGACGTGAAAATCAGGGTGTATTTTGTTTAAAGAGAAAAGCAGCATTTCTTGCTACATTTGTACAAATTTTATAAGCGCTACACACATTCGATGCTGTTTATCAATGTTTGAAGCATCATCAGCTCTGATGAATGAGGAATTATGACTTTTTTCCACTTTGAAAAGGTCTCAGACTCAGACAGAAAGTAAATATGTGCCTATTTAACAAAATATAGTCTAAATATTTCTGCTATATGTGGATCTATCCTGTTTTTTGTTTTGAAGATATACATTTGTACAGAGGTAAAACCCACTTTTATTGTTTAAATATTCTCTCTGTATCATGAAACAAAGCAAAAATAATAGATTCAAAGAACACCAAATAAATTTATTGTATTAAATGAGCACTGGAACTGACACTGACACTGAGCATTTAGAATATTTTCACTCTACAGGTCATCTAGGCTGTAGTTACTCTATTTAACCCATATCATGTATTTTATCTTGCTCTGAAACAATTCATTGGAATAATCAATTATTGAAATGTCAACAAATTTAATAATCAATTAATCATTAACTGGACTATAGAGACTCTAAAACATGTCTTTAGGTCACACATCGACCCAGTTAGAGCAGGAATTATACCAAAATCGTAAAAAAAAATATCTAAATAAAAATATTTTTGTCTTTTAATATTTTCCATCCCCTCTACTGCTGCAACAAAGCTGTATTGTAAATTATAAACATGTTATTCACATCTAATTGTTGATAGGGACAAGTAGGTCGGTCCAAAATTTTGGAAGGGACATGTCCCTATGCAAACCTACGCCGCTTCTTGTGTCTTTTTGCTGTCCTTTGTTTCCAATTTGAAGCAACAGGTAACAAGCAACAGGAACTGTCCCCAGGTGTTAAAACTCAGCCACATCGATCAACAGAACAGAACATAGCTTTATCTCTGTAGGCTGTGGTTCACCTTCTCCATACTCTCGCTGAAGATCATAATTTCATCTGCAAACATCATAATCCATAGATTCTCCTATGTATTATCCCATGCTTGACCTGTGCCAGACACCTCACCACCGTCTCACTATCTTTGCTTGTGTTTACCCAATGTGCACTTCTGCATCACAAGTATATTCACATTATAAAGCAGATAATCTGTCGTGTGACGTCTGTTATGATTCAAGCGAAAACTTTGATCGACAAGAAGATAGAGGACATCCAGCGGCGAGTGGACAACAACCAGAATGTGGAGAGTGAATATCTAACGTACCTCCTCTCAAACAAGAATATAAGTACTAAGGACGTCTACGCCAGCATCACTGAGCTTCTTTTGGCTGGAGTGGACACGGTAATGAACTCATTATTATAAAAGCTTTTATTATAACAGATCTGTATGTATTGATGTTAGAGTTTGAATCATATACAAGGAACTTTAAATTTGTTTGTGACTCCTCTACTCAATAATGCATATTTTATGCTTGTATATGTTAGTAGTGTTAATAAGTATTTGTTTTTATTTCAAAGACCTCCAACACCCTTACATGGGCTTTGTACCAGCTGTCCAGGAACCCAGAAATCCAGCACAGACTCCATGAGGAAGTGTCCACGCTGGTACCTGCAGACCAAATCCCCACGGCTGCAGAGGTCACTCGGATGCCATTTTTACGAGCTGTGATCAAGGAAACTCTCAGGTAGGAGTGCATGGAGAAGCTTTGGTGTTAGCAGAGTAATCACATAGAGCCCTTTTATAATCGTCTAAATATTTTTGTTTTCTTTTAAAGGATGTACCCCGTGGTTCCTATAAATTCAAGAATCATAACTGAAAAAACAGTTTCTGTTGGTGGATATCAGTTTCCAAAGAATGTGAGTCTAACATTTTGAACATATTTACTATAGAATTTTCTCTTACTGCAAGATAGTATAAAATATATTGTGTGCTAACAATGTTAAACTTAAGCTAAGATCAACACAATAAAAAAAATCTATTCAATTTTCTTTTCATTTTTTTTTTTTTTTTTCCAGACTTGTTTCACTCTCTGTCACTATGCCATCAGTCATGATGAAAGCATTTTCCCAGAGCCGTTCAGATTCCAGCCGGAGAGATGGCTCCGTGACGGCCGCCAGAGGCCACATCCATTCAGCTCCATCCCGTTTGGCTACGGAGTTCGAGGCTGTGTTGGTCGCAGGATTGCAGAACTAGAGATGTATTTGGTTCTGTTTCGGGTAAGTCCAAAAAAAACCCAACATGTATTTAAAAATCTATTATAAGGATGAAATAATTGGACTTCCTGCACTTTACCTATAAACCATAATCATAAAAAATAACATTATTCTCAATGTATATCTGTCATTATCTAAAGAGTTTTTCACTATTATATTTCCCTATATTTCGGTGTCTTTTTCTTAGCTTATTAGGGACTTTAAAATCAAACCCGGACCCATGATGGACGAGCTGAAGATCCTCAGTCGGGCTGTTCTGGTTCCAAACAAGCAACTGGACCTGCACTTTGTGGACCGATGATGAAGAAACACTGATTTTCTCAACAGTTTGGTTTAACAGTCACATAAAAAGCTGGTAAGCCAATGAAAAACTCTAAAACTATTAAGCAACAACTCTTCTTGCAGTCACAAAAAACACCTAATTATATCTGAATACACTCAGATGATCCAGTTAAAATATAATGCATTTCCATCATTACATCATCAGGGGGTATTTCTACTTGTTTGTTTCTGAAAATACAATCACATGTTTGTATATTTGTATACCTTGGTCATCCCTGCATTGTATTCTATTCTATTCTGTAATAATGTAGTGATGAAAACTTTTATATTTGTTGGTTCTATATTAAAGGATGTTTTATTTTTCGTAAAGTTCAACATTCTTATCTGAAGTTGCACAGATTTCTTTAATCTCTAAATGAATCAAACAAACTAAAAAAAACGTAATTTTATTAAACATTTATTTTCTGTTCTCTCAAGTCATCAATCTATGCACCTTCTACTTACTGCAGCTTGCAATAAATACAGTTGTTTTACACTTTTTTGTCTACATCTTAAATCTAATGTGTTGCATCTCATTTGAGAGCACTGCTCCCCTCATATTCAAAGAGTTCATATTGCTAAGAACTATAAAATGGTTCCAAGTACTTTTAAAAGAGGAACCGGCCCAAAGGATAACACAGTACTTCCCTCACTATGCAACCCTTTAGTGAGTGATGCAAACCTTTTTTAACACATGTGGAAACCTGAAGGATTTGTTGCTAATAAGCTCAATCTTATTGTCATCTGAGCAAAGCTCATATTGACACATTTGCGGTAAGAGTACAAAAAAGGCTTTTGTTATTGAAACTTGATTACATAAAAAGCCACTCTTCTGTTTTTCTCTGACTGACTGCTTAAGAGATTTCTCTTGGTGTCTGAAATGGGAAAATAAACCAATGAAAACAGCTGAGAGAGACCTGGGAGGGGGCCGGGGGAATGGCTTTACAAACTAAATGAAGCACAGAACAGGATCCAATAACAGAGACAGTGATTCTGGGTACCGTAATATATTGTAGCATCTAGCTTCTGTTCCTTCTCCTTTCATTCAGTCAACAACACAAATCTGTGCTAAATCTTGACAGCCTTTTGCCATCCTAAAGTCCATACCCCACCGAAACAGACATGGAAGGTGCTACCCAGATTGGGACAACAGCCTTTTGGAAAAGAACCACAAAAAAGCAAGTTTAATAAAGTGAACAACTGAAGCTCTCAATTATAAAACCCACAACATATGAAAGTACTTAAAGCACATTTGAATGTCCCCCACAAAGCAGGAGTGAAGCAATTATGTTATTTTTAGTTAAATACCATGAGGAGGTCTGTGCTTATACATCATGTTATGCAAAGGATTGTGGGATTCCTTTTAGACCCTAAGTGTCCAATAGGAACATCAGACTATCCTAAATGAACTATTGTTAGGAAGCATGCAGATTCCTTTTCCTACCGCCTTCCTCACTACAGCACTATTCAGACCTTAAGAGTCCTTAATGATTTGCTGTTTTTGCCTTCCTTCTGTCTCCTTAAAACACCAAACTGAAAGGTAACAACGAAACTAAAAAAAAGGAAGAGATCATGAACTGATTGAAAGATATAGCTTTTAAGAATGGAATCAGACTACAAAGCATTTCAAATTACATTCAATAATTCACCCATTTAGATGCTGACAGTGGCAGGTTTTAGCTACAGGTTTCCTTGGGTAGACTGACAGAAGGGTGGCTACTAGTGTTTTGCCGATGCCATTTATTAGCCCCGATACTGATACCCGATACCTGGCTGTGCTGTATTGGCAGATACCGATACCATCTGTTTGAAATTGGTGTGTGTGTGTGCATATGAAGAACTGCATACTACTTGGACATAAAATAATTGCCATCATGGCTTTTTCAAGCTGCTGCTTGTGAAGCAGGATAAAGACCAATACAAAGTGAATCTAGTAGAACTTTTTATTGCCTACCTGGAATGGGTGACAATAGTTGATTAAACTTTTGGCTCTCAAAATGGTATCAGTGCCCTATTTGTCGGTACTCGCCGATACCGATACCATAATTTTAGTGCTAGATCAGGGCCCCGGCCAATACTGGTATCGGTATCGATGCAACACTAGTGGCTACCATACAATTGGACCTCTGATCACCAACAGCACGAAAGGCAGGTGAGAAGTCTTGCTTAAGGACACGGTGATGGAAACAGACCAACAACCCTGTGGTTATAGGACGAAAGCCTACTTCATTCACCCTTAAATAAATCAGGCATTAAGGTCTACAAAGTGAAATGGCTACTAAGAGGTACATTAGTACAAATTCCTGATCAACACAATAAATAAAGAAAAAAAGTGACATATTAACACTAAGTTCCTCTTGTTAAGACACGTTTAGGTGAAGAATCTAGTTTACACTGAAGCAGTCTAAGTTTGTATTCTTCTAAAAGTAGTAATAAGTTAATAATAAAGATGCTTCTTAGTCCTAAACAATCCAACATCACACTGTGTATGAAATGCAATGATTTCCTCTGGGCCTTAATGGTTTATTTTGGCTATCACAGCATGTTGTATATCATGTGCTGCTGCAAAGGTTATATAATTCAGAAGGTGGGATGAAAAACTCTTGTATCCGCAGGTTTTAACATGGGTTGTTCCCAAAATTGGCAAACAAGCTTCATTCTTAGAGCAGATCAGCTTATAAGAATGTTTCCCAATAATTCAAGCTGGACTGAATACTTACCTGCTCATTTATTTTCCTTAGTCTGTGGACTTATTTTCTAAAAGGCAACTGCTTTTGTGTAGTTTTCAATTTCAATTCCAGAGAAATCTAAGAACTTTTTCAAATCTTACAGCCACAAACCTCTTCCGTTGTTGCTGTTTGCCTTGGTTTCTTCTTCAGGCCTGGTTTGGATGGGTTAAATAATCTGCTTGACTTGGCCCCTCCCTGCTCTACAAGTAACTTAGATGTAACAGGAGCTGCCTGTTTTCCATTCGGCTGTAATGGCTGCGTGGCTGTCACGGAGAGCACTGTCAGGGAAAACCACCTGGCTGTTGTCTTCCAGCCCTGTTTATAAGAGCCATGTCTGCTGCAGGAAGGTGGGCAGAACGTCCTCTGCTCCTGGAGCCCTCTCTGCCCTGCAGGACAAGCCTCGGACTGTGGAGGACCTCCCTCATGTCAGCTCGTTAGAGATGCTTTACAGGATGGTGTTTCAGGGCTACTACAACCGCCTGCATGAGCTACAGGTATGTCAGAGTCCGATCTGTATGTCCAGCTGCTCTGTTATACAAAAACAAACCACAGAGAAGCTGCTGGTGAAGACTTCTGTTTGTTTCTTTACTGCCTTCTGTCTCCAGCCACCATGCATGATTGATAAAAATGTTGCACAGGAAACAACCCCTTTGTTTCCACAGCAGCTGGTAGATAATAGCAAGAGGAAGGCATTCCTCTTCTTGCAAGACCAGTTTGTATAAAGTGAAAAGCAATCAGATGAACTCTAGCACATATATCTGTTTATTGGCTGAGTAAATCTGTAATGTTCCCTAAAGTCAGAGAAAAGTAAATCTGAAGCAATTCTGCTTTTACTGATGTCTTGTTACATCAGAGAAAGGTGCAAGTTTCACTTTTTATGTCAAGGATTTTAACAGTTTTTTTTTCTGCACTGTCAGCTCTTTGAGAAGAAGCTTTATGGACCCATATACAAAAGCGGACTCAAGACGGTGTCAGTGAACACCCCTCAGCTGCTGGAGGAACTCATGAGGAAGGATGAGAAGTTTCCCTCCAGAGGAGACATGTCTCTGTGGACGGAGTACAGAGATATGAGAGGATTTGGCTACGGGCCGTTTACAGAGTAAAACAATTTATTACTGATCACTTAAATTCCCCCGTATCCAGGTTGAAAGAAAACAAACAAAAATACCGTTATAAGGCTTCCCAGAAATAAAGGTCATGTGTTGAGTAATTGAAAAGGTCTGATTCAGACGGCTGATGAAACACATTACTGCTTCGTAAACAATGTTATGCTTACTGGTTTAGTCTGAAGCTTTGTCTAAAAAACATGCATGTTTTTGCAATTTTTTTTGGACAAACCTGCAGGAAACAAAAATGCTTTTTTTTAAGAGTTGGGCCTTTTAAAAAAATCTGTTGGAGGTGTGTATGTGGTCTATACATCCTCAGGATATTCAAACTGATAATGCAAAGACCCACTGTGCACATGCATACTCTGGCCTTCTGTGCTACAGATCAAAACAACAGGGTTTGAAAAGCCCTTTTATTTTTATTTATTCCACAGGTAAAAAGAGTACACAAAATTGCACAAAATTTTGAATAAGCAGCACTTCAAAGAAAGTATGTTTTCTTTACTATTTATTGGAAAGCAAAAATATGTATATCTGCTGTTTGTGTAGAACATATGATTAAGCACACAATTTTACTGGATAATTGTGCATATCTTAGGGCTCCAGGGGATTCAACTTAAAACCAAGTCTTTTAGAGCAACATTAATATTGGTGTATGCATTACATGGCTGTAGAAAAACTGCTTGTGGGAAAATGCAATTCAGACCATATTTTAATGACCTGATAGAGATTTGCATTGTGTTTCTGCATCACAACCACTTCACTCAGCATAACCCATTCAACTTGATTTGATCAGTTTTAGGCTATTTATCTATTTGCCCATATTTCTTAGGAAAATATCAACATTTATTTCTGCTCTCAGGGAAGGAGAGTGCTGGTACAACCTTAGGGCGGTTCTCAACAAGCGGATGCTTCATCCAAGAGACTCTGCTCAGTACTCTGGAGTCATCAATGAGGTGGTTACGGATTTCACAAAACGGATCAAACATCTGCGGCACTGCAGCCCAACAGGAGATCTTGTTACTGACATGTCCAATGAGCTGTATCTCTTTTCACTAGAAGGTAGGCGAAAAAAAATATTTTCTAAACAAAAAACAAAAAAACATTTTAATGTAAAAACATCTCTTTGTCATCTAGGTATTGCCTCCATACTATTTGAGATAAGGCTCGGCTGTTTGGAAAAGGAAATGCCTTCTGGTACCCAAGAATTTATTGACTCCATCGCTAAGATGTTTTCCAACAGTATGGCTGTGGTGTTGAGTCCCAAGTGGAGCCGTGACCTGCTGCCATTCTGGAAAAGCTACATCGACGGCTGGGAGGGCATCTTTACCTTTGGTGAGTGGGAGATACCTCCCTGCTATATACTGTTTTGGTGAAAACTCTGTCCGACATATGGGAGATACTGTAATGAACATGCAGATACCTATAAATAATAGCAGACAGAGGACCTCACTATTTGAGCAGATAATGTCCAACTTAATTTTGCTCCTACTCTAGCTAAAACTTTAATCGATAAAAAGATGGAGGACATCCAGCAGCGAGTGGACAATAACGAGG